TACTAGCTGGCATTGTTGTGAGAGGCTGCATTCAGCTTCAGTGAATTTGTTTAGACTCTTTCAACACATTTGCCCATTTCACGATGGGTGATTTACAGGTGCACCTGCTCACACTGTGCTGAGTGTTCAGCAGTTGATCAAAAACAGCATGACCCCCACACCCTACCCTCCCTCTATTTACCGAACAACTATTTTTTGTTTCTCCAAATGAAAAAAGTCCCCAAAAGGAAATATTTTGCTGATGTGGAAGAGGTGAAACAAAAAAATGTTATAAGAATTGAAAGACATCAAAACTGACAAGTTAGAAAACTGTTTTGAGCAGTGAATAAAACATCTCAATAGGTGTATTGCATCAAATGAAGAGTAGTTGGAAGGTGACTGAAGTTTAAATGAGTAAGAATACACAATTTTTATACACAAATTCCGGGGTTTTGGGGCCCCCCTCATATAATGGAATACAACTCAGCCACAAAAGAGAATGAAATCTTACCATTTGCAACAACATGGATGGACCTAGAGGATATTATGCTAAGTGAAATAAGTCAGACAGAGCAAGACTAGTATCATATGATTTCACTTATATGTGGAATCAAAAAAACAAAATAAATGAACAATAAAAACTGAAACAAACTCATCAGTATAGAGAACAAATTAATGGCTGCCAAATCATAGAGAGATTATGGGTCTGGGTGATAAAGGTGAAGGGATTAAGGAAGCACAGACTGGCAGTTACCAAATAGTCACAGGGATGTGAGCACAGTACAGGATAGTCTATAATACCGTAATAACTGTATGTGGGGCCAGGTGGGGCCTAGACTTCTCGTGAGTTACATAACTGTCTAATCGCCATACTGTACCCCTGAAACCAATGTAATATTGCTCACATCCCCTTGGACTGACACGAGTCACACGGCATACCTGTCTGTGAAGTGGGCTGGGACATGACCATTAACTCCAGTTAGGGGGTCACAGCCCAGCTCAAACGTGGGGATTCCACTCCTGGGTGGAACAGGGGTTGGATGTACGTCATGATGAAGGTAAGGAGCGAGACTGCCGGCCAATGTCATGTATTATTGAATTTTTTAAAATTTTTTTGTTTTCTCTTTATTTTCTTTTTTTTTAATTTTATTTAGTTATTTTTCAAGTACAGTTTTTTGTCTATTTTTCCCATCCCAGCCTCCCCCGCCCCTTGCTCCCCACCTCCCTCCCATTTCTACCCGCCTTAGTTCTCGTCCCTGTGTCCTTCCTATTTGTTCCTCCAAATCCCTCCCCCTTTTTCCCCTTAACTTCCCTTCCTTCTCCCCTCTGGTCACTATCCCCTTGTTCTCTATTTCAGTGTTTTTGTTTTTTTTTTTCCTGCTTGCTTGTTTGTTTTGTTATTTAGCTTCCTGTTAAAGGTGAGATCATATGGTATTTGTCTTTCAGCACCTGGCCTATTTCACTCAGCATAATTTACTAAGACCATAAGTGAGTGTTATAATGATTACAATAAAGATGTTTCTAAAATAGTAACTATTTCAGGCCAGGCCTATACCCATGTACTTGATTATAGAAAAGGAAACAGTATAGAAGTAGAACTTTTCTTTTTATCTTTTGATGTAAAGTTCTAAGTCGAAATATAGAAATACTTGGTCCATGAGGAACACACCAAAAGTCTACAGTTATACATTTAAAAGCTCCATTATTACAGACTCATAGAATCACATAATATTAGAGCTAAGATAAAAAGGGCTGTTCTTTACACATAAGTAAACTGAGACACAGAGGTAAAATAAATGGCTCAGATCAGAAAGGAAGAAACATATTCAAGACTGTAAGTCAATTTTACTGACCTTGAATACACACCAAGTGAGATATTTTTTGAAGCAAAAAGGTTACTGTAATTTTAGAGAATATGTTAATTAGGGAAAACCCAATTATTAACAAATTGTTTTGTAAAGTAATCTGCAATTATATAGCAAATGACAAATATTTAAAACACATAATATGAATTAGGTTTACCTTTAGTACTAAATTTGCTTATTTAAAATAATATACACAAGCTGAATCTGACCCAGCTGGCCAAATTATTTTTGTATTACTTCACTGTTGTACTTATTTCAAAATATATTTATTCACCCCAAACAATAATACAGAGTATGAGCTCAATTTTCCCATGTTTTAAGGGTATAAGCTGGCATGGTATGCCTAGTAATTTGTGTGTTTTTAAAACCTAGAACTGTTCCAAAAGTAAATTGTCTTTCCTTTATGAGAACTCATAAAATCAAGAAGCACATCAGAGGGAAACATATAGCACAATTAGTATTTCTTTATTTGTACAAACCTGTCAGATTTTAGAGCACTTTAATAATTTTTTTAAATTGTATTTATTTTAGACAGAAGGGAAAGATGGAGAGAGGGTGAGAAATCTCAATGTGTGGTTGCCTCTCATGCGCCCCCTACTGGGGACCTGACCTGGCCTGCAACCCAGGCATGTGCCCTGATTGGGAATTGAACCAGAGACCCTTTAATTGGCAGGCAGGTGCTCAATCCACTGAGCCACACCAGCCAGGGCAGATTTAAGAGAACTTTAAAGATTACCTAAAATATAGTATAATGTTACCTTAAATGTAAGAAATTTAAGTTTTATTAATTCAATAAACATTGCCTGAGCATCTCCGTTAGACATTACATTTCCAAGATGATGTGAAGGAAGAGAATTACTCAAGTGGGTATAATATAGATACTAAAACAAACAGGTCATCATCAGTTAGAAGACACTGTTGGTGAAGTTATGGAGCTAGGAGGTGTGATATTTTTTCTAAAAAAGTAATAATTTGCTAGGAAGCTGGAACTTTAAGGTCCCATTATAATTAGAGGTTTCAAAAAACAAAATATAAAAACGTTCTAAAGCCCAAAGTCCAACCCTAGTTTTCTACTAGGGTGATTTGGCAACGTCTGGATATATTTGGGGTCGTCACAACTGGGGAGGTGCGGCCACAGACACTGTCTGACGTCCTTCACTGCACAGAATAGCCCTTCCACAGCAAAGAACTAACCAGCCCAAAGTGTCAACAGCACCCAGGTTGAGAAACCCAGGCCTACAGCGATTTAATGTGGTTTAACAAGAATTAATTCTCTGAAAGGCATGATGACATGTAGTTGTAGACATAGATACAAAAAATGATGTCGATAGAACAGTGAACATACACTTCACATAAAATTGCTACATTATTACTTATTTATAATTATAAAACTACTAATGGCAACTTTTTGTGAGTAGCATTATGTCGACCTTTCTTAGGTGAGCAGTGATTTTTACCTTCCTGTGACTTCACAGTGCAGATATTTTCATTTTTTAAAACAAATATTTAATGAACCCTTACTTTCTAGTTGCTCTATAATATATAAGGCACTGAAGTGAAGATTCTGACACCAGCTTTACTGGGGAAAGAGGCACGTGCACAAAAGCTACCATCAACACGACTGGTGTTATCAGAGGGTAACGAAGAAACTGCAGTAATTTTAAGTTTCCAGTCAAGATGGTGCAGTAGGTAAGCATGGTGCTCACATCCTCCCTCAACCACATCAAAATTACGGTGAAACTACAGAACAACCGTCATTCAGAGCTGCCTGAAATCCAGCCCAATGTAAGTCCTACAACTAAGGATAAAGAAGCCGCCACGCCGAGACTGGTAGGAGGGGCAGAGAGGCGGAACAAGCTGGTCCCACAGCCATGTGTGACGGATGAAAATCATGAGGGGTATCTTGGCTGCCGAGATCTCCCCTGAGGAGCAAGGGGTCCCAGCCCCACATGAGGTTCCCAAGCCCAGGGTCCCAGTGCTGGGAAGGGAAGTCCCCGTAACTTCTGGCTGTAAAAACCAGCAGTGATTGTGGCTGAGTGAGACAAGGGACTTCTGGAGTCCCGGGTGTTCCTCCTAAGGGGGCTGCGAATGGACTTAGACACACTCCTTCTGGGCTCTAGTGCTGGGGAAGTGGCTCCAAAGGCTCCAGGGACAAACGGGAGGAAGGAACTTCAGGTGAGAGCTGGAGAAACAGCTGTTTGCTAGACACAAGTGCTGGCAAAGGACGTTCCTTTGCTGAGCCCTCCCCCTGCAGGCACAGGCAGGCAGCACATCCTCCGAGTCTCCATCAACCTGGCTATTATTCTTCGCCCTGCTCTAGTGATTACCTGAGACCCTGCCCCACCCAACTTGCGGCCCCACCCAAACTGTTTGCCGTGGCTTTCCCATAGGAATGGCCCATCTTGGCTCATGCTTCAAACTTTCCTAAAATCTTTCAGACAGGCAGCATTTGACCTCAGCATGCGGGTGCCCTGTACCTCTTGCTAAGTGCTCCCAGGCCTGGCACTAGTGACAGCTGGCCTTGCTTCACAGCTTGGCCTTTCCTGGGCACTTCCAAGCCCAGGACTTGGAAGTCCTCTCTGGCCATCACCACACTGGTGTCTGTGTCCATGGGGTCATGCACCTATGTTCTTTGGCTGATCCCTTCACCTTCTTCCATCCAGAGGGCTTTTACCTTTTAAGGCTCTTCTCTTGTGACCCTGTTTAGCACAGAGCGACTGTGGAACGCCTGAACTGGAATCACCTAGGTTACCTTAAAGAGGGAGATTCCTGGGTCCTGCTGAAGGACTGTTGAATCAGACTCCCAAGGAGTGAGCCCAAGAATCTGCACTGCTAGCAGAGGTCACTGGTGAGTCTTGTGCCCACTAAAGTTTGAGAACCACTGTTTTACTATGTGGGACGGGGCAGAGAAAGCTCTTCCCTTTAGGTTTAGGATCAGCTTATTGCTAGGAATATTAGTTTCCTAACAACCTGCTAAATATATCTGCTAACCATATACAGTGACGCCCAAAGAATATTTGCTGAAAAAATTACTTGAGAAGCATACTTCCTTAAGCTCTGTGATAAGCAAAACATTTTTATTCTTTTCTAACCTAGATAGTAGCTTGATTCTAAGTAAGTTTTAAAACTTTTATAATCTGTATGTCCTGTGTGCAGAATAGCTATAATTTTAAAACTGTGGGAGCAAAACAAGTCAAACTTAGATGGCAGGCTTGCTCTAATGCGGACCACTGAAAAATCACTCGTGCTCCCATGCCAGTCACATTTGATTTAAACAAGTCCTGCAAAAAAGAAAAACAAATGGTTGAAAACATAAGTAGCTACAGAAGATATAAACCCAGAGCAAACCAAAACCCCTCATGGAGGGCTGCAATAAGGATAACAGAATTAACGGGTGTGTCGGCCTACTCTGAATGATGGGGGCACTGTGAGGTTGGTCTGAGGGATGGGGGGCTGAGAGAGAGCTGCGGTGGCTAGGACAAACCAAAAGACAAAAAAGATGAACAGGCTCAGAACATAAAGATCTGCCCACCAAACCATCCTGAGAATCAGCACACTAAGGATTTGAGAAATGAAAAGGTATGCCGCAATATAGAAGATCAGAGAAAGGGGACTTTTGTTGGGTTCTTCAAGTCGTGGGTCAACAGGTCACACATATACTACGTTATACCACCGTACTACTGTACGGGGGCATTGTTAAAGCCTAACATGAGCACCGGATCAAAACTGAATAATCCCATCAATATCCATGTGCGAGAAGGACTCAGGCTAGATTTTCAGTTCCCTTCTTGTGTTCCTATCTTGGGAAAATGGAGCTTGGAGAAACTTGGGAAACTGAACCAGAGCCCATGCTTCCACACATGTTCCTTGTGGAAGACAGGCACAGAGAAGGAGTAAATAGAAGCAAATGATCACTCCCCAGAGGCTTCGCTTTTCAGACCGTGCCACTCAGAAGAGAGGCAAAGGGCTCCTCTCCATCCATTCGTTAGTGGGGGTGTGTCAGTGCTTGGTGTGCATGTGCGTGTATTTGCTGTGTGTTGGGTGTGCGTATGTGTTTGAGGTGCATGTGTGCAGCTGTGGACGTGTATGGGTGTGTGCGCTAGAGGGACATGGCTGGGATGGGTCAACTTTCAGTCTACAGGTTACTTTACACCTACTGGCACCGGGGTGCACACTCACATGAACGCTGTCACTGTGCAGACGGATGAAGTGTTAGGTGTGTGTTGTTCCTCCTCAGCAGAGAAAAAAGAGAGACCAGACACACACACTCACACACACACTCTCACACATACACACGGAAATTCTCATAACTCGAGGGGTCAGATCAGTTGGGAGGGAGTCAGTCCTCATCTCTTCCTGCCCTTTATATTCAGAATGGCCAGGGCAAAGGCAGAACTGTAACAAAAAGGAAGAAAGAACTGAGACGGACTGATAGATTATCCCTGGAAACTCACTATGGATGCTCTGGGAAGGTAAGTTCTTTTTCAAAGGCAGAGCTGAAACAGCAGGCTTATTAACATTTGTAAAAGATGGTATGCCTGCACAAAAATAAGAGAAATAAGGAAACGAGTAAAGCAATCTTCAGCAAAGCCCTCTAAAATTAATACATGATGGAAGATAACACCTGTAAGCAAAAAGCAAAAAGTACCTGCAAACAACTTCTTTTCTAGTTCTTCTTGAATTTTAAGAAGAATCCTTTCCTGTTCTAAGGCTTCTATATATTTTGAGTAGCACCAGCTTGGCTAGAAAAACAATTTTCAAAATGAATTTTAGATGTATTTGTCCTAGAAAATAAACTGAAGATTTATTTTTGAACATCTTATTGAAGTATAACACATATGATAAAATGTGTACCTACCATAAATTTATAATTACTGGTATATAAAATTTCTCAAGTGGAATGTACCAATTTAACCTTTCTTCCATTGATTTTAGAGAGAGAGAAACACTGATCTGTTGTTCTACTTACCTACGCATGCATTGGTTGAGTCTTATGTGTGCCCTGACTGGGGATCAAACCCACAACTTCGGTGTATCAGGGCAATGCTTTTACCAATTGAGCTACCTGGCCAGGACCCATTTAACGTTTTAACTGGGCATCATAAATCATTGTCAATCTAACTTAAACCATTTTAATAAAAACATTTATGATAAACTAAAGGTACTTTTTTTTCTGTAGCTTTGACCCCAAATTTTAAATTTCCTCGTTCTAGGTTGGAAGGGGGCTTGGGAATGTGAGAATGATGCTTTACTATTTCTCAGTGAAACAATTTCTCCGAAGCTTTATAGATTTCTTGACAGCTATTTGGACAGCTTTATATATTCAGTATGATTATAGATTTAAGTGCTTAGGAAGATCCAAGTGTTTTAGGGGGCCAGTTTTGCATTTGGATTAATTACAATTCTTCAATGTGTAAAATATATCTGAAACAAATGCATGTACAGCACATTCCACACTTACTAAATGGCAGTATATTATTATTTTACCAATTGCTAGACTAATTCAACACATTAAATAGCAATAATGAAAACAAAAATAATTTATTTTTATAAAATACATTTGGTTTCCAAAAACATTTAGTTTCTTCATCTTAGATATATGACAATATTGTCATCATCATCATCATCATCATCCTTTTCTTTCTATCTTTCTTTTTTTAACAGTCAGAAAAAAGTCTCAAAGAAAATTAAATCATTTCTTTTCAATCTTCAAGGTAATACTGACTGTGTCAAAGTGAAAATTGGAAGCCTGTTATCTCTAATTCCGTGTTCCTCCCTTTATTTTTATACTGTGTTTCTGAAATTTCATACTGGTCATTTGTTAATGAATGTCCTTCCAAATGTCATTATCAGGTACCATGCACTTTTAACCCCCCTTTTTTCAATGTTTGGTTCCAAAAAATTGACTATTTCTCCTCTCTTAATAAAAGCTTCATAGTCCATCAGTAATCTCAGCTGGGCAGCTGAACTTACTTGACATTCCTAAATATCAAAAAGGCTGATTCCTGAACTAGTATTATTTAAGATGCTATCACTTTCAATAGAATCATTAAAAAAGAACATACATTCAACATAAGAAATATCAGGGAAGTGATGTTAGTGTACAAGTTATAAATGTAAATATAAACATGAAAACTGTCATGTACAAGCCAATTTTATGACCATTCCAAGAATTTAAAAATTGAAACTAAGCATTTGCCTATTCTTTCCTCTCTTAACCTCAAAATATATCAACCTGTATATATTCTATTTTGTTCTATATCAGCCTTATTCTTTCCTTTTCAATGAGATAATCACTTCAACTTCTGCATTTTAAATCTTCATATGGGTCAAGAAATTATTTTCCTTATTTTATTGTCCAGTATTAGCTGAAATTTTAATGTTCTCTGAAGGCTCAAGGAAAATCCCTTCCCATGTCTTTTTTATTATAATTTTAGCTTCATTTTCAAACACACCTGTGCTGCAGTGAAATGACTGAACTATTGCATCCCACTGCCCAGTGCTCTCTGGAAGTGATACCCACGCATCTCTCTTGCTTACCTGTCGGCCATATGCTTGCAAGCCTAAAACTGAGTCGCTGGCTAAACCACCTGTTCTGATAGCAGCTCCTGAAGCACTTGCATATTGTCTGATTCCATCCTGTAATTAAATTAAATTATTCTAAAAAAGAGTAATGCTATATTAACATAAACTTACAGTTTAGGAAAAAATATTTTGTGGTGAACCCCAACCCGAGGTTTCATCAAGTCAATATCACTAGTGTGACATAATCTACTGTTTTGGGCATTAGTTTTCTTCCATAGTGATATATAAAGATAAAAAAATAAATGGCAGAAATCATGAAGTGGAATGTGAAAATCACCCCCCAAATTTTAGCATCCAAGAAAAACCACTACAAACATTTTTGTGAATATCCATCCAAATTTCTCACTAGAGACATGCATACATTTAATCTATAATTTTAATATTTGTTACATAAATTTGTTACATAAATTTCATATATAATGGAATTATACTGTATGTGCTTTTTAAATGTTTCATGTAAAATGTTTGAAAAAATTTTCTATGTGAATAAATACAGAACAGAAATGTAAAGAGCAGGGTCTTCATATCATTCAGCAAGTATGCCTACTGTAGAATATAGAGTATAACTTCAAATATTTGTTGGATGATGAAATCAATAAATTGAACCATCATTTTCAATGGGCAAATGGTCTTATGCATGCAAGTATTTATTAAACGAAAAATAAACTATATCCTCATTTCTCCAGGTGAATAATATCCTGGTAAAAGGATATATACAACCACAGGTAATTGAATCAATGTCCACTATGAGAAATTTAGGTAATTTGAAATTTTTTACTATTATAAATGATGCTGTGCATTTCCCCTGTCTAGAATAATTCCTAGAAGTGTATTTACTGGATTATAAAGAATGAACATTCTAAACAATTTATGTTGTCAAACTGCCCTTCAGAAACAAAATACCATTTTACACTTTCTCCAATAACACATGAGTTTGTAGTCCTCTTGCACAGATTCTCAACCAACACTTAATATTTTCTTCTTCACCAGTCTGTATGTCTTTGACTACCATTGAGATGGAATGGTTTTTCATACTCTTAATCATTTGTATTTCTTTTCTGAACTGCCTGTTACTTCCCTTTGCCCATTTTCTGTTATGAGTATTTATCCTTTATATTATTTATTTTTACAACTATCATCATACATTTTATGTTTTCCTAATTTGCATTTGACCTTGTTTATGTTTTCCATTTAACAATTTATTTATTTCATTAGATCACTGTGACCCTTTTCTAATGAATTTGCCACTGTTCATTTTAACTACTTAATATTAAAATAGATGATATTAAACTAGATAAAAGCTTTACTCAGATTCTCTTCTATTATAACTTTTTAAATCACCCAGTTCCATTTAATTCCTTCATAAGAATAAGAGATGAAGAATATATTTGCTATTACTATTTTTGTTGTAAAGGACAATTACTGCTACAATATTATTACTTTATGACATGCATGGTGCTTCACATATATTATTTAATACAACACTGTGATGTAAACTCTGTTACTATCTCCATTTTACTGAAGAAGAAAATGAAGTTTTAGGAAGTGAAGTGGTTTGCCTAAGACACTGGAAGTGACTGACGGTGAGGTCAGGATGCAAAACCAGGCTGTCTGACCCAGAGACCGCCCTCCTGTCCCCTGTGCCCTGCGGGGTCAGATCAGATAATGACTGTTGTTTGTGTACAGCTGTACAGTGGAATGGCTTACATGGTCTTCCACACATACTTCAATTAATCTCTCTAAATCATGTGAAATTAACATTATTATTATTAGTTGAGAGATGAAATGTGGGTTAAGAGAGTTAAGAGTCATGTCCAAGGTTAGCAAGGAAAATCCAATGCTTTTTACAGCAATCAATTGTTTTCAGAGTATACAATTTATGTTACAAAAAGTCATGGATTTCTCATATTTATTTTTTCCCACATTTGCTCATGTCTTCAATAAAATAAAAACATCAGAATAAACATTCTCTGCTTTATTGGTCTTCCTCACCTTTTATTTTCCATGTTAAAATAAATACATGGCAGCCCTGGCCGATGTGGCTCACTGGGTTGAGTGCTGGCCTGTGAACTGAAAGGTCATCAGTTCGATTCCTAGCCATGGCATATGCCTGGGTTGCAGGCCAGGTTCCCCAGTTGAGAATGAGAATATTCAAAAGTGGAATTCTTCTGTTTTCTTTAGGATTATTCACCCTACAAAAAGGCTATTTTTACATTGTCAGTATTTTTGTATCTTATCCTGTGAGTAGTTAACCAGTTGAGAGATATGGAGGGGTAAGAAGATCACTTTGCATTTCCATAAACAGAGTATGATAAGGATGATATAAATATAAATCCTAAATTTCCTGGACAAGTAGTAATTTAAGATTTTCTCTACTTTCCTCACATCACCTGTTCCAACATTTGTTTCAGGCAAAATATTTACCATATACATAAGCAAATTGAAAATATCTGGGACTACCCTTAGCTGTGAAGTTCTTCCTTAGAGCAGGGCGTAGAGTAAGAGATGTTCTTTATATCCTCCTCACTACTATATTTATTTATTTAATAAATACATATTTAGAACCATTTGATTAAATCATGCTTTTAAAGATTAATTCATTTGCTTTTTATTAGAGGTTGTTCATCTTTCCCTTCCCCCATAAAAATTAATTGCTTGTTTTCTGTGATCTTGGGGTTTTTTTTGTTTATATCATTTGCAATTATGTGTATGTGTGTCTATGCACCCTTACACTCTATTTAAATTGCATCCATACCCTTAGTGTGTACAGTAGGGATCAATATGTAGTGGATAATTAATAAAACTCTATGTAGTAGATGACCAATAAAAGTCTAAAGAAAGGATTAGGATGAAAGCCCTGCTGAGAGACAATTTAGGTCACATTAATAGGAAATACAGCAGACTCACGTAGACACTGGACTGGTGAGGTTATTCACATGCCCTAGGAGTATTCAGAAAAGAACTCCATGCACACCTAAGTTAGACACATTCTTTTTCCTTCCCTTAAATCAGTGACTTGCAACCAGTGTGCCACAAGAATTTTCAAAACGTTTTAGTCAGGGTACTCTTTTCCCTTAGATTGTCAAATAAAAAAATGACAACAGCCAATATAACAATAGCCATCTGGTGTGAATGAATCAGAGTTATACCTATTTTTTGTCAGAGCAGCAAAAACATAATATATTTACTTTCTTTCTGGACCATATGTGTATATAATAATGTATAATATATACATAAATCATGTATATGGATCAGAAAGAAAGTGGATCATACACATATAATATGTATATAAATCCACTCCTAAGGTTGGCAAAAGACATAAACTCATAAGCTCAAGAACCTGACCAATCCTTAAATAAAATAAACCCAAAGAAATCTACACATCATACCCAAATGCTGAAAACTAAAGACAAAGAAAAAACCTTGAAAGCAGTGAGAAATACCTTAGCTACAGAAAAATCTTGGAACGTAATGAAAAAGAAAGAAAGAGCAAAGTATGGGTAAGTAGAATAGACTTTTCTTCCCCCCACCCTTGAGTTTACTAATTTATATTTGATGGTTGAAGCAAAAATTATTAAATTTTCTGATGTGGTTCTCCATATATGTTGAGGAAATATTTAAGATAATTATGAACAGGTGTGAGAGAAGGGACTTAAAGGGAGGTAGTTCCTAGACTCTATTCGAACTGGTAAAATACCCACACAAATTGACTGTAATACGTTATGTATGTATAAGGCAATATCTAAAGTAACCACTGAAATATACAAATACACACCAAAATGAAATTCTAAGAAATGTGCAAGTAATCCATAGGAATGCAAGACAAAGAAAACAGAAAAAATGAAAACCAAAAGAAACAAAGAATATAATGGCAGACTTGAGAACTATCATGTCGCTAATTATATTAAAGATAAATAGACTAAATACAGCAATTAAAAGACAGAGATTTGCAGAGTAGATTTTAAAAAATGGCCCAACTATGTGCTGTGTAAAGGAAACTTAATTCAAGAATAATGACAGAGGTACTAAAGGAACGAAAAAAGATACCATGCAAACATCAAAGGAGAGCAAGCTGGTTCTGCAGCTTTGGAGAAGTCTGGCAGTTCCTCAAAAGGTTAAACATATAGCTACCATATGAGCCAACAATTCAACTGCTATGTCCCAAGGAAAATGAAAACACATGTCCAAACATAAAACTGTACAAGAATGTGCACAGCAGCATTATTTCTAAAAGCCAAAAAGGGAAAACAACCCAAATGTACATCAACTGGTAAATGAATGAACAAAATGTAGCACAGTCATACACTGGAATATTATGTGGCCATAAAAAGAATGAAGTCCCGACACCTGCTGCAGCACGATGGACAGTGAAAATATGCTAAGTGAAAGGAGTCAGTCACGAAGGCCACCTATTGTATGATTTCATTTATGTGAAATATCCGGATGTAGAAAGTAGATCAGTGGCTTCCAGGGGATGGAGGGAGGGAGGAATGGGGAGTGACTGCTAACAGGTACAGAGTTATTTTGGGGGTGATGAAAATACTCTAAAATGTAGTAGGTGTGATGGTGCACAACCCTGTGAACATATGAAACCACAAAATGGTACATTTTAAAAGTGTGAATTTTATGTTATTTCATTGTATGAAATAAACTAAATTTTAATAAATCCATCATAAAATAAAAGTATGTAAACAAAACAAAGAAGAAAGAAGTCATTATATTAATATTTTAAACTGGCGCAGACGCACCATGGAACACTACTCAGCAGTAAAGAGGATCAGCTGTGGATACGCCCGACAGCTTGGGTGCATTTATGTCAAGTGAAAAAAAGCCAGTCTCCATGTCACATCCTCTATGAGTCCATTTATGTAACGTTCTCAGAATGACAAAATTATAGAAACAGGGAACAGATCTGTGGCTTCCAGATATTGGGGATGCTCGGGCAGATACAAGAAGGTCATCTGAAGGGCTATTTGTAAAGGTGACAACTGGAAACACATGTCCAAAAATAGAGAAATAATTACATGAAAACAGTATATGGATTCACATAATGGAAGAGTATGTAACAACTAAATTGAATAAACTAGGCCCAAGAATTGCTGTACGGGTGGACTTAACAGACAAAACCGAGTTTGAAAAGGCAGACGGAGAAACACGTGTTGCACAGCACGTGCTATGGATGAACCGTGTCCCCCAAGTTCATATTTTGAAGCCCTAACCTCCCGTGTGACTCCCTGCAGACAGCGTGGGTAGGAGGTCACTAACGTTAAGTGCAGTCGTAAGGGTGGGGTCCTAATACAAAGGGATTGTGGCTTTATAAGAAGAGGGAAGAACAGAGGGAAGGAGGGAGGTAGAGAGAGGGATCGAGAGCGAGATCACTGTCTCTCCCCACTTTTTGAGGACACAGGGAGGTGTCCATGTATAAAGTAGGGAGAGAGCTCTCATCAAAAATTAATCAGCTGACATCTTGATGGGGGACTTCTAGTGTCCCAAACTGGGAGAAAGTGAATTTCTGGTGTTTAAGCCACCCGGTCCATGGAATTTTCTTACGGTAGCCCTAGCTGGCTAACACAATACAGTACTGTTTATGTAAGTTAAAATATGTACAGAATAGTCCCCTGCATTGTTTATGAATTCATATACATGTGTCGAACACTATCTTTAAAAGGAGATGGAAGAATATATCCCAGACTCAGTGGTTGCTCTTGGGGATGGGTAGGCTGATAGAGCTCAGGGCTGAGATAGAGTTTACTCTTTCAGCAATATGTTATTCCTTAAGGGGAAAAAAGCGAATGAAGCAGAATGTTAACAGTGTTTGTTTTGACCTGGACAGATATAAGTGTTCAATACATTACTTTGACATCTTTTCAATATTCTTTGTGGAGAAAAAAATAGGCACTGCAATAAACTGAACTTGAAAGTAACCTCACAGGGTGATCCGATCATAAATTTCTAACTGGGCAGGTCGTGGTGAGGGGCCCCTCCCCAGTCGTATAACTTCTTTAGTAAAAGGTGTATCTTTACTTTAAACAAGCCCTGTGTATTGCTCTTGTGCATCTAGGTTGACACACCTTTGAAATGCCTCTATTTCAGACTCCTTGGAAGGGTAATCACCCTCAAAAGAGCAAATAATCTTAACTATCCTATAATCCAATCTCTGCTGCGCTTCATGGAATCTTCCTTACTTCCTTACATTCCATTCTAATTCTAAATACATTTTTAAAAACTTGCAAACTGTCATACTCTGAAGCACTTTTCTGCCTGTTGAGATCTCGCTTCTAGGAATATTTTAATTTGGCTCAAATCAACTCTAATGAGCTCTTATAATTTTTTTACAGGTTTGGATGCTCTTATGTCGATATGTTTTAAATTTATTTTTAGAACTAGGGTAGGCATACACTTATAAATAAGATAAAATACATTATTGGGGAGCAGTTACCCCTCCTCAATTCAAATAAATTAGAGAATATACCAAAAGATGGGTAGATGAATGGATGAATGAGAGGATAAACTAACAGACAAGTAAGCAGCCTGAGTAATTTATGATCCATATTTGCAAATTTCACAGTAAATATGTCGGTCAGTAATTGCAATACTTAAAGTGCTGTCCTCATTCATTCAGTGAACAATTGTTAATAACTGAGCATGTGCTAGACACCAGTGTAGGTGCTTATAAAACACAGAAGAATAAGCCAGACACGATCCTCGAGGGTCTTGGTCCAGTGAGGACAAAAAATGCAAAAACGTATTCATAAGACAATAGAAAGTGTTCTCTGAGAGAGGTTCCAACAGGTGACCACAGTGAGTTCCTTAAGTTGCCTAGGAGACTGCCAAGGAAGCCTTCAAAGAGAAAAGATGACGTTTGAGATGAATTTTAAGGAATTCAAAACAAAGTCTAAAACCCGCAACTGAACACTTAAAAGCCACCAAAGTTTGTAGTCTGTGACATTTTTGTATTTTTCTCTGGCACAAATTCCTCTATAAATTTACACATATCACATACTTTTTAAAAGTCTGATTAAACCCCAAACGAGTCTTGTCTCACCTTTGCAAGTTTTTCATCTTCTGTGGCGGCCAATTTCTTTTTCTTATATTCTTTTCTTCTCTCTAAAACACTCATCATTTTCTCATCGGTTAAGTTCTTCCTAAACTCACAAAACTGAGGCCAAAATTTAAACAGAACCCCAAAAATTGTCATCTGTATAAAAAACAAAGTATGTCTCCAATTACAATTTTATACAAATGCACCATTTTGAACTCTAATTCACCATAATAATGGATTAACTATTCTATCTCTAATGTACAGCGTGTTTCCTCCAACTTACTGTCTCCAGACATCTTGGTACAGTTTGGCTCAGCACATGCTTATCATCAATGGTTTTTACTGCCAATGAGATGTCTTTCTTTCGAAAAAGAATTCTTAAATACACTTAAAAGTCACTTTATTCTTTATGTTTCCCTAACCAATTGATTGTATTAATAAAGAATCCATTAGGTCTTTTAAAATAAGAAATTTATGTTTTCTTTTAAAACCCGTACCAGTTGATCTGCCACACACTGCTGTTTTATGCAAGTATTCCAAATATTCAGTCCATCAAGGGGAACTGCTCTCCCCCTTCCCCTTTCCTTTCTTTTAGAGAAAGGAAATACCATTTACCTCTGGAAAAGCTCTTAAACAAAGCTTAAGATCTAAGAATAAATCTTGAGTAACTTTTAAATGATACAATCTCTCTTTTATGTGAGAGCAAGAAAAGTAACATTTAAAAGGCAGAGCGGTACCCTGGACAAATGCTTTCTATGAGGACACTCCACAGTAAATGATTAATTGTGATATTTATAGAGATAAGAATTGTTGCTCAAGTTCCCATGCCGAGTTTTTCCATTAGTCCCAGAGGCACGCGTTACTTCCAAGAAGGTAGGACCTGCCACATCAGATCAAGTACAACATTTTGTTGCTAGGAATGGCCTTTCCCTAACGCCCTGGAGAAAAATGAACCATCCCATTAGGCTCCAAGCCAGCTCTTCAGAGGTGGAAAGAAAAGTTTTTAAAAAGTACACGCGGCAATGATCAGCAGAGTCCTGAATGGGTGTATTTCATTACTCCTCTGTTCTGTACATGGATATTATTAGTAATTCTAAAATTATTGACTCCTTTTAAAATATAACTTTGTCACTGAATTCTGTAGCCTCTTGGGACTGTGAACACAAAAGCCAGAGCTACTTCACCTGATCAAACACAGACCTTTAAATCTTTTTCATTTACCTGCCAGGCATTTAATTTAGGAATCCCTTGCTCCAATGTTCAGGGATCATGATAATTTTCATAGGAACTTCTTAAACTTAAATACCCCTCCTTCTCTACTTATCAACTATTGACAATTTTTCATTTATTGGCCCAAACTGTGAGTCATTCCCACTCTCAAATATATTTACTTCCATCTAGAAGAAATTCCAGTAAAAGTCACCTAAGTAACAGAATTTTTTAAAGCCAGACATAAAACTGCTCTATTTCTAAAAGTTGCAGTTAAGATTTTAGGTTAATAATTTATGGGTTATTTACCAATATTACCCTGTACTTCCAGAACCTTAAAAAGATAACCAAACTGTTGGTAAGGAAATGTTCTAATAAATAAAGAGCTACTCTGCTGACGGCCAGCAGGTGGACAATGGTGAAAAGGACCCATGATGAGAACTTTGGCTGAGTGGTGAGGGAGGCAGGCGGGGACAGGCAGAGGCTACGCTGGTAACAACACTAAGAGAGGCAACGGTTTTCAATTCACTGTTTAGCCCTGGCAGTCAGCTTTGCTCTCCTTTCCAATTTGATCTTACTCCTTCCTGTTGTGATAGATCTCTTTTCACATCATGCATTCACATGTTCAAAAATGTAACTGATGCCCTGGCCAGTGTAGCTCAATTGGTTGGAGCATTGTCTTGTAAACTGAAAGGTTGCAAGTTTGATTCCCGGTCAGGGCACATGCCTGGGTTGCAGGTTAGGTCCCTGGCCCGGGGTGCATGCGAGAGGCAACCTATTGATGTTCCTCTGGCACATCACTGTTTTTCTCCCTTTCTCGCTCGCTCCCTTCCCCTCTCCTTTGCATGTCCTTGGGTAAAGATAAAAAAAATGTTCTTGAGTGCCTCTTCTGGGCCAGGCATTCAGGGTGCAAAGGCAAGTATGAGACAGGCCCTGCCTCCAAAGACCTTACCATCTAATGGGAAAATCCAGCACAAGAGCAGTCATTTTCAATGTTGTATTATAACTGTTCTGAGAGGGACAAAGACAGGATGTCCCAAAAGCACAAGGAAGAGAAGAAGACACTGCAGAAAGCTCAGAAGGGAAGAGGGTGAGGCCACTTTATGGAACCATAAATGTTTCAGTAGGACTGGGAGATAAATGGTAAGAGATGTGGTTAGAGACTTGTGGGAAGGAGTGTGGTCTTCATTCAGAGGACAGTGGGGGGTAATGAAATTGAAAGCAAATTACATGGGCTTTGAGAGAGCCCACAGGCAGGGGATTTTGGTAATCAATGTGAGACTTGGCAGATGGCAGGAAGTGGAGAAAAGCAGACAGAATGACATAGCAAAGAGACAAAGGGAGAAATTCAGGGTAAGGGGATGAAGGAGAGGGAAGACATGAACACGGCAACCAGACCTCTGGCTCGTAGGAGGTGCTGCCCTTCACTGAGCTTCCTAAGGAAATGCAGGAGGAATAACAGGTCTGGTGGGATAAGGCCTCTAAATAAATATTCCTTTATTTCCTCATGCTCCAAAGTTCATATTTAAGATATGGGCCTGGGCCTCCATTTTAGGAAATTGGGCAGAAGGCAGAAGCTAGAGGATTCCAATAAAGTTCATGGTCGCCACTGCTGACAGTGTGGGGAACCAACCAGTGTAAGCAGCTGCAGACGGTCACCATGAGACCCAGGGTCTTTGATCCAGTGGGCAAGGCCCTGCTGGCCTGGGGACCGGCAGGCCCAGGCGAGGCTAAGCGAGCTCTCAGATCTCTTCGTTAACAGATGCTACAGTTCTGGCACCATGTTTTCTCTATTTCTCTCCAGCACATGCTCAATCATTCCTCTATATTTTCCCCTGTTTTAATGCATGATTTGGATTGTGAGTCCACTTCCAGTTCCTCAGAGGACTTAGAACACAGCTGGCTCACAAATGAATGTTGAGGAGTAATGGCCTTTTTCCATGCTCAAGGGCAATCATGCCCTAAATCTCTGTTTCACATCACTGATGTCCTGACACGGCCTTCCCTAGTCCCTCTATTATAATTTATTTTTCTTAATCATTTTTCAGGAACAACATCAGTAAAAGGCTTTTCAAAATGCAAATAAATTATGTTCACCAAATCACTGTTTTCTATTATTTATCTTAAAAAGAAGTAACGTGAGCAGGTTACCAGACATGATTTTACTTCCACAAGCTTGTGTACTTTATGTTGGTCGGGTACTTAAATCTTCTCTCACTTATTTTATGAGCTATGTGAATACTCCAATCTTTAAAAATACACAAATCCTGGGACACATATATTCCACACATTTTTGTGGTAGCAGATATTTTAAAAGGAAATATGAATGGTGGGAAAGAAAGGAGGAATTAGCTTGTGTTATAAATTAGAAACAAGAAATGATAACATGTGAGTTCAAAGTGTAGTATTTAATAATTTTTGTTGTATAGTATCAACAACAGGAGAGTCAATTACTAGTTTTTATGTTCTGTAGCTTAGGCAAGTATTTTTTTAATTAAATAGGATAAACCCCAGTATTAGGAGGATCGGAGTCTTGCCAGATACTAATAGTGCAGAAGCTTTAAAAGAATATCTAGACTGTCAATCTAGTTTAAGATATGCTGAGCCATGTGCTGAGACCTCTTACCTGTGCCTCTCTAAACACATATGGTCCTAACTCCTTCCTGTGCTCAATAATCTTCTGGGCTTGCTCCAATGGAATGTCAATTTGTAAAGCTGGGGGAATACTGGAATTAATGAAGCAGTTGATGATAGTCATGACCTTCTTGTGGATGATGGACTCTTCACAATGAGAGTGACACAAGTCCTGGGCAAAAAAGAAGAGGTGGAACAATATAATTAATGTATTACTAGAGCGCTTTACAGAATAGTGCCAAGATGTCTTTCAGCTAATATATACACTTTCAGGTCAAGAGGGCACTGGGGCATTCTAAGATTATCCTTAAAAATCATACCTTTTATTTCTCTTGAGTTTGAGGAACCTAAGTCTTTAGTGAATGTGCCTTTAGTGAAACCTAAATACAGGTTTCGTTTTATCCTGGTGGCTTGTCCTAGGCAAAGGAAGAGATCTAGTGTCTACTTTGACTGACTTACTAAATTTATACTGAGTGCCTGCTCTATGCCAGCCACACAGTTGAGCTCCAAGACACAGTACCTGTCTGTTAAAAGGCTCAATTTCTACTAGAGGAGAAGCATGGAAATGCGTCATTCTAATTGCAGATAGTAAGTGCTGTGATAAAGGCACACACAGCATTCTAGGAGAGCACTGAGAACAGGCACCTAACCCAACTTACAAGCAGTCGCAAAAGTTCAACCGGAACTGCTTCTACCCCAAGGGGACTCACGGCCAGAAAGGCGAGCTGCAGAAGCTATGCGCTGGTGGTAACAGGTGTGTCCACATGTTTCTGTGTTTTTTCTTTTTCTTTTTAAATACATTTTATTGATTATGCCATTACAGTTGTTCTATTTCCCCCCTTCATTCCCCTCCACCCTACACACCCCCTCCCCCACCATTCCCCTCCTTTAGTTTATTACCACGTGTCTCAAGTTATTTAGATTCTATATTTCCCATACTATTCTTACCCTCCCCCTATCTATTTTCTACCTACCGTCTATGCTACTTATTTTCTGTACCTTCTCCCCCCTTCTCCTCCTCCCACTCCATGGAGGGTTGCTAACCCTCCATGTGATCTTCATTTCTATGGTTTGCTCCTGATCTAGCTGTCCTCTTAGTTTGCTTTTGTTTTAGGTGTGGTTCTTAATAACTGTGAGTTGGCTGTCCTTTCACTGTTCATATTTTTTATCTTCTTTTTCTTAGGTAAGTCCCTTTAACATTTCATATAATAAGGGCTTGGTGATGATGAATTTCTTGAATTTGATCTTATCTGAGAAGCACTTTATCTGTCCTTCCATTCTAAATGAAAGTTTTGCTGGATAGAGTAATCTTGGTTGTAGGTCTTTGGATTTCATGACTTGGAATACTTCTTTCCAGTAATAAGTGGAATAACAAATTGATGTTTCTCTCTCTAATATGAATTTTAAAAATGTTTTTTTTGCCCTGGCTGGTGTAGCTCAGTGGATTGAGCACAGGCCTGCGAACCAGAGGATCGAGGTTCAATTCCCAGTCAGGGCACATGCCTGGGTTGCAAGCAAGTTCCCTGCAGGCCAGTTCTCAGCAAGGGATGCACTAGAAGCAATCATACATTGATGTTTCTCTCCCTCTCTCCTTCCCCTCTAAAGATAAATAAATAAATAAATATTTTTAAAAAATATTTTAAATGATAGTTCTATATCTGTGACACAAAACTGAGTCTTTTTCACGTACAATCACTATTTTAACTTCTTAGCAATAAAGAGGGTAATATAATAGGTTAATTGAAAAAACACAGATTAACTTATTAGATTACCCTCTTTATTGCTAAAGAAGTTAAAATAGTGATTGTACATGAAAAAGACTCAGTTTTATGTCACAGATATAGAACTATCATTTAAAAAATTTTTAAATTCATATTAGAGAGAGAAACATCAATTTGTTATTCCACTTATTTAAGCAGGCATGGTTGATTCTTTTTAAAAAGATATTATTTATTTATTTTTAAAGAGAGGGCAGGGAAAGGAGAAAGAGGGGGAGAGAAACATTGATGTGAGAGAGAAATATCAATCAGTCACTCCTGGCATGCGCCCTGACTGGGCACTGGGACCGAACCTGCAACCCAGATGGGCGCTCTGACTGGGAATCAAACCAGTGGCCTTTCATTTTGCAGAAGGATACTCAACCAACTAAGCCACACCAGTCAGGGCTTTTGGTTGGTTCTTGTATGTGCCCTGACCAGGAATAGAACCCACAATCTTGGTGTATCAGGACAATGCTCTAACCAGCTGAGCTACCTGGCCAGGGCCAGGGCTATCTTTTTTTAAAAAATAAAGATGTAGCTTGGCTTAAATTATGGCACTTGTCTGTTAAAGACATTGCCGTCTAAATCACTGGAAGGCATAGAAATTTGGAAACATAATTCTAGGGCAGAAATGAGCCAACATTTATTAAGCACTCACTGTATGATAGGCATTGTAATACTTCATGTCTTATGGACACTCTTAAAAGAAAATTCTAGTGCTTGTCATATAAAACTTCACATACAGTTTGGCATAAGTTATATACAAAAAAAGCTTGATATGTTACATCAAGACAACAGTTAGCATTTTTTACTCAATTTAGTATCCCCTCAGAAAAGGTCTATTTATACCACATGTTTGGCATGTTACCAAAAATGTATTTTTTTGCCATTACTGGTGAGATTATCAAAATAATTATTTGGTAAGCCTGGTTTATAACTATGGAGCATAAGGCTTATGAAATGAAAAGATATTTGTGAAGTTATATGGTTTTAATTTTGAGAGCGAAGGGACAGAATTTAGACAGAATCAGAATTGACTTTCACCCTGATGGTTCTGCCCTACTAGGCCATTAGCCTGGCTCACTTTCACCTGTCCTAAAAGTTTCAGCACCAGATACTTTCCCGACTAAGCTTTCTGTGACTCCCTGAGTCCAGCAGAGAGGCCCATCCTGGTCCTTCCCTGGGAGCCTGTGCTTCTCTCACGACCGCACTACGCACACTGCTGCCACTGCCTTGTCGATCACTAGTCACTCATCTGTCCTGCCCATGGCCCTGTAGGTGGCTCAGGCCACAGCTGGATTCTCAGGATTTAGCCTGGCCCTTGGTACATGCTCCGTAAGTATTTATTGAATAAATATACGTTTCCAGTTTTTCTCTGTGGAGACACACACTCCACTTTAGATTAAATTGTACTGTTTTCTAGTAGCTAGGTTTTAAAAAAATCAGTTAAGATGAACATCTTTCCTATCACTGATTATTCTCTTGTCGCATAATTTTTATCGGCTGCAGCATGTTCTATGGCATAGATGTATCATAATTAAGTAACCAGGGTCTTGTTGAATACCTGGATTCTTTCCAATTTTTTAGAATTCACAGTTTGATTAAATCACTGCAGCCATGTCTTTGCCTATTACTATAACCATTACTGGTTAGAGACATGAGTTTTAGCAACAGAAAGGCTTGGTTCAAGTTCTAGCTCTACCACTTAATTAGCTATGTGATGTCAGGAGTGTAACTTTTCTGTGCCTTAGCTGCTGCTTCTGTAAAATGGTGAGAATTATAGCTTTGCTCTCATAGGATTTTTTTAATATATATTTTATTGATAATGCTATTACAGGTTTTTTTTCTCCTCTTTATCCCCTTCTGCCCTGTACCATCCCTCCCCCCAGAATTCCCTCCCACCTTAGTTCATGTCCATGGGCTGTACATATAAGTCCTTTGGCTTCCCCATTTCCCATACTATTCTTAACTTCCCCCTGTCCGGTTATACCTACCATTTATGCTTCTTATTCTCTGTACCTTTTCACTTATTCTCCCTCCTCCCCCTCCCCACTGATATTCCTTTATGTGATCTCCATTTCTGGGATTTTGTTTCTGTTCTAGTTGTTTCCTTAGTTTTGTTTTTGTTTTTGTCTTTTGGCTCAGTGGTTGATAGTTGTGCATTTGTTGTCATTTTAGTTCTCATATTTTTGATCATCTTCTTTTTCTTAGATAAGCCCCTTCAACATTTCATATATTAAGGGCTTGGTGATGATGAACTCCTTTAACTTGACCTTATCTGGGAAGCACTTTATCTGCCCGTCTATTCTAAATGATGGCGGTGCTGGATAGAGTAATCTTGAATGTAGGTCCTTACTTTTCATGACTTTGAATACTTCTTTCCAACCCCTTCTTGCCTGCAAGATTTCTTTTGAGAAATCAGCTGATCATCTTTTGGGCACTCCTTTGTAGGTAACTCTCCTTTTCTCTAGCTGGTTTTTAAGATTCTCTCCTTAACTTTCACCTTGAATAATATAATTATAATGTGCCTTGGTGTGTATTTCATGGGGCCCAACTTCTTTGGGACTCTCTAAGTTTCCTGGACTTCCTTCCTGGAAGTCTATTTCCTTTGCCAGATTAGGGAAGTTCTCCATTATTTTTTCAAATAAGTGTTCAATTTCTTGCTCATCCTTTTCTCCTTCTGGCAACCCTATGATTTAAATGTTGGAACATCTAAAGATGTCCTGAGGTTTCTAAGCCTCTCCTCATTTTTTTTTTTTGAATTCTTGTTTCTTCATTCTGTTCTGGTTGAAAGTTTATTTCTTCCTCTGGTCCAAACTGTTTATTTGAGTCCCAGTTTCCTTCCTGTCACTGTTGATTCCCTGTATATTTCCCTTTATTTCACTTTTCATAGCCTTCACTTCTTCCTCTATTTTGTGATCATACTCAACCATTTCTGTGAGCATCCTGATTACCAGTGTTTAGAACTGTGCATCTCATAGGCTGGCTATCTCTCCATCAATTAGTTGTATTTCTTCTGGAGCTTTTTTCTGTAGCACTGTAGCACAGGAGGGAACAATGCTGCTTGCTTGGCTCTCAGCTGGCTTTCAGTCACTTCCCTCCACTTCCCACAAGCAAGCTGGGCCCTCTGGTGCTGATTCCCAAGTTCGTGGGCTTGTGTATGTTCTGGGACCCTATGAGTCTCTCCAGTGAACTCTCCTGTGAGGCTGGGAGTTTCTCCTGCCACCATAACTCCAATAGGTTTTTATAGCCAGAGGTTTTGAGGCTTTATTTCCCCATGCTGGAACCCTAGGCTGTGTGGTCTGTCTCACTCCCCAGTTATTCCTCCTGGTTTATCTGTATGCAAATGTGGGGCTGCTGGGTCTGCCAGTGGCCACCTTGCCATGCATCCCTTCTTCCCCAGCTGCCCATCTCTGCCCCTCCTACCAGTCTGGATGAATGTTTCTTCTTTAACTCTTTGGTTGTCAGACTTCCATACAGTTTGATCTTCTGGCCATTCTGATTATTTTTTGTTTTTACATTTGATGTTATCCTTCTTTTGGTTGTACAAGGAGGCAAAATGTACCTACCTATGCTTCCATCTTGGCCAGACTTACAGGAGTCTTATGAAGAATAAATTAGTTATTACATGAAAAGCATTAAGACAATATCTGGCAGACAAGAGACACTTAACAGAGTAAAACATATAAAAGGGAGCTCACTAAGACTCTGCTAGGTGGAATGCTCAAGACCCAGTCCAAGTACCATCCCATCTGTGGATACTTCCCTTACCTGACGCCCTCCCTGCATCACTCTCTCTTCTGTGGGGACACCAAGTTAGAACACAGACCATAATCAACACTACTTATTTTTATAGATCTCCCCTTCCCTGAGGGAGGGCCATGCACTGTATTCACCTTTTTATTCCTACAATCTAACATCTTGGTTGGCACATTAGATACTTAATAAATGCTTACTGAATGTACAAATTCACTTCTATAGTATGACTTTTAATAGTCACCTAGTATTATATTTCCTCCATTCCAGGATGCAAAAAAGATATCTAAATGAAAAGCAAGGCAGCCTTGAAGAAGGAACAGTTACAAAACTAAGGGTTGACTGAGTGTGTGTCTATGGTTTACTAAATACTTACCTTGAAAGGTTTATCTCATTGCCTCTTGTCTTAGCAGGGTGGGGCTTACTCATATTTATATAAGCTTGAAAATACTTCTACCCACTCATAATAATTGCCTATTCTGAAAAACAGATACTACCTCCTTTCTAATTCTCAAAAAATTAATTTAATATTACTTATCCTGTGACAAATTTTGAAAAACTTATCTCAAAATATTTTTTTCTGAGAAAATTTCTAAGTTGTGAATAGCAAAAAAACTGTTGATAATAGAAAAGGGTAGAAAACTGTTTCATGGTATGTTGGAGAAAGTTTAGATATAGATTTTATTGAGCAACAGCTAACCATACAGAATATATATGTTGCAGATTATTCATACTGCATAATATAGGCTTACATTATAAGCTAATTGAAATCATTATCCCCTGAAATTCCAGCTTTATTTTTGTTTCCCTGCTTTTGAAATGGGATGAAATAGGCTGCTTGCAAGGAAATGAGCTCACTACCCCTGGGAGCATTTAAGCAGAGGCTGAATGCCTACTCTTAGGTAGTTCTAGAGAACATTCCTATGTAAACAACATACAAGTTTAGATTGTATAATCTAGAAAGTCCTTTTCCCATTTTCAATGCAAAGATTCTATATGATTTAATTAAACACTTAAACCTGAAAACAAACTGCTTTTGAACCTAACCACTTGTTTTTTTACTTATTTATTTTGCTATAAATTTGGCCATTTTTTTAAATAGAAAAACCTCTCTCAGTTCTGTTGGTTTATTTATCTATAATCCACTCTCTTTGATTACTATTGTGGTAAATATGGTTGGGAATTCTTATAAAGAGATCTTGAGTTAAGTACTGAATATGGATACCTTCAGGGGGAAAATGTATATAGTATATTTACAAATAAGTGATATGCCAAAATATAGTTAAAACTTTTCAGGAAGATTCTCATTAGATCATAATATATGGGACTGCCCTGAAAAACCTATACTATGACTTAGTGCTCACTCTTATGCCTTGTTTTACAATAATAATAGAAAATAGAAAAATAAACATCTCAATATTTTCATATTGGTATGAAGGTGTCCAAATTGGGATATTTTCTACATAAAGTTATAATTAAGAATCTGATACATTAATGGATCCCTTCCTCAAGAAGAGGTGACTTTCTCCCGCTCTCAATAAAATACCTTATATTTTTGTACTTCTTGCCAAAAGAGCACCCCATTTTCCAATAAATCTCCTTTTAGAGCCACAAACCGTTGGAATTGTCTTGAAGTAACTGGATTCAATAATGCTTTACGAAAAGCAATGATTTCAGAAGATGAAGATATCCACTTACTCTCCACGGGCTGTCCAAAACGGAGAGTACAGAAAATTAGCTGTGTTCTCAAAACTAAAGAAAGTTATTTACTAGACTAAAAAGTCACCAACTTCTATCTCCTGTACTTTAGGCTGCTGAATGTATGGCCAGATAAACAGAATTTGGGAACTTTTTCCCTCTGTTCCTCTCCCCTTTTTCTCCTTTTCTTTTTTATGGTACCATTTTGTTACGAGGTAAAAAGAAAAAGAAATGATTGGATGATTTATAACATATGACTACACTGTTTGAGAATGTTAACAATTATTACAGTTTGGGACTATGGTGAAAGCCCATATTAGTGCACAGTATGAGTTTGCTTAAACAGAACAAAATAGTCAAAATCATATGATTACATATTGTTATGTTATTATGTATTTTGTGGTTTCATATATTATATGTCTAGATTAATACGTAATTCTCCTGCCTTTTAAAAACTAAAAACAGTTAAACATTTAAGGTATTTTTCAAATTTTTAGAAAAAAATTACCAATTAATTCTATTCATTTAAATAGGAAACGTACTGTGGAACTTCGCTATAATTCTATCCTGGACAGATCATGTTTTTTGGTGACACATCTTTATATTATTTTAATAGCAAATTATTATCAAGAGTTACTAATAAGAAGAAATAATTATGAATACACTTTTTTAATAACATATGTCCTCTGGCTGAGGATTCGCCTTCCCTAACAAAGAGGCCTGAAGGAGCCATGGCATTTTAGTGATGTTTGAAGGTACTACTTATTTTATATCTACATAATTTTAAGATGTCTACTTCTTTTAGATCACATATTCATTCTCCTTTAGCTTCTCAGATGGCAAAAACAGATTTTACTGAATTTACTGAGTAGGTTTTTAAATGGATGAATTTTATTGAAGTTCCCCAAATCTGAGTGTAGCCTACAATCATGCATCGTTCGAAGGCAATGTTTTAGATGAACTTAGGAATTACAGGAGCAGTCAAACAAAACACATGATAAACACCCATGACTGATAGTGCATACAGTAAGTTTCTTGAAACAAGTCATACATGATCATCAAAATGAGCATTACATAAAATGCGCCATGGGAACACAAGGGAAGGCGCAACGGAGTCCTCCTAGAGAAGGAAAAGCTCTGCAGAGGAGGGTCCGCCGGCGACATCCGAGCAGGAAACAGAAAATGGAGGGCAGCCCCAGGCAGGGCCCTCACTAGGCAAGGCACTAGCTGCCTGTTGTGTTTTGGGGGAGGCACGTGCTGGGGTCTCTGGACAAGGAGTAGGACCCTTGCCACGTGGTCTGTATTAGAATTACAGCCCTATAAATAGGAACGACTGTGTATTAGACTGAAGAGTTTGTTTAAAACCCACTCGGCAAATAATGTTTTAAGACCTGCTTCTTAAGGTATTAAAACTTAGTAATTTAACTAAAACCTGTAATTTTACTAAAAAAAATAACGTAATACATAATGTATAATACTATGAAATATAAGCCCATCGTACTTAGTATTTCAATAAAGACATGGCAAAAGACACATATAAGAATAGTTGTTTTTCCTTTCAAGAGGAAAATACAGAAAAAGCGGACCCTAAGATAGATATATAGATATATATATACACACATATATATATATTCCTTTAACAGACAAATAAAATTTTAGTTTTGTTTGCAGTGGGTCAGCTGGGTCTAGTTTGATAAGTTATCAAGACCTGAAGAGGGATAAATACCCATAAATTTGTAGGCTCAGAAAGAAAACTGTGTTTATCATGCTTGTTAAGAAGTAAACATCTCGTAAGATATTATATTATAGTGGTTTAGATAATCACCAAGATGATAGTTATCTTAATGCTGTTAAAGCTAAAATGCAATTCTAAGCAAAGGGGGACAAGGCAACTGATTTAACCTGTTGACGCTGCCAAAGGTTTCTCATTCGTTTTACGTAATCCACTCTCAATCCTCTTGCATGATAAACAAGCTACCATACCCTGGAATGAAGAGTTTATCTCAATATTCCCATCACACGTAAAATAAATAAAATATATATTTAAAGCCCAATCAGATACTTCTGGAGTTGAGCAGGGGAGGAACTGTTTAAGAAGGCTCTGGTCAAATCACATTTTCCACTAGATTCCACCAGCCAATTAGGAGAGCGGTGTTGGCATTCAGTTGGTGGCTTAGGACAGTGTTTACAATGAGGGCTTTTGGACAAGAGGGAGAATAATACTTTGACAGAGTAGAACTTACAGGAGGAAGACTATAACAAATAATTACTTGCCTTCCAAATCCCAATTTTCATGTCATGCTTCTGTAGTAAGAGCTCTTCAGCTATGTCTCTCAGCTGTACCTAAAAGCAAAACAATTATTTTATGTCAACTATTAGAATGTCTAAAGTTTTGAAATCCTTTACTAATTTGGAAGATTTTTTAAAAATGAAGTAAAGGTCAGCATGGATAGGAGATAATACAATTCGGCAGAAAAAGGACCAGACTTAGAAATGGAAGTTCTGCCCAGATCCCTGGGTAAGTTGCTCCAGTTCTCTGTTCTCAACAGGTTCCTCCTCTGTAAAGATAGAGATAATACTGGCCAACTGTATTGCCCTAAAAGCAGATGATAGTTCCACTTTGTGCCACGTGGAACCGAAGAGATAATTAGGATTTCCCAGATTTTCATGCTATATTCTCGCCACAACTGATTTTAGAGAGTACCAAAGTCCTCCAACTGAGGCAGAAAATACAGTTGACATTTCCTGAGGTTACTGCTGATTAACACTGTTTTCCCTTTCTTGGGAACCACTCCCGCCAAATCTGGTCTATGTGAGTCAACCTCTCTTCCCCAGATAGATCACAGGTGACAAAGAGAAACAGGGACCAGAGTCACTTCTGCCGAGTCTTTCCAACAGCCACAGTCCAGACAAAAGATCGGTGAATTCTTCCTGCCGGGTTCCCACAGCTGTCCTGGCCCCTGATACTTCTGAAGCTTGAGTATCAACTCTTCGCCTAAGTCTGCGAGATGCTCCAGGACCACTGTGTAATAAATTCTCTGCCTTCTCTTTTGTCTTTGGCTTAAGGTTGCCAAAATCAGTGTATGTTGTTGGCCACCCAAAGAGTGCTAAGTCAGGAAATGGGTGTAAGTTACAATAAAATTATTGTGCTAAACATAGTGAAAAAAAGGTGGTAAATAATATTAGTAAGCTAAAAATCTTTACACTTGGCTTTGGTTAGAGAATAGGGGCTAGCCTGAAAAAAGGAGTGAGGAGCTCTGACCAGTGTGGCTCAGTGAGTTGGGTGTCACTCCACAAAGCAAAAAGGTCACCGGTTTGAATCCTGGTCAGGGCACATGCCAGGGCTGGGGGTTTGGACCCCAGTAGGGGGCCAGAGGCAACCAATTGATGTTTCTCTCTCTCTCTCTCTCTCTCTCTTTCTCCTTCTCTTCCCCTCTCTCTAAAAAGAAATAAAATCTGTTTTTAGAAAAAGAAAGGCGTGAGGAAATTTATATTGTTCCAACACTTATTTCCAGAAACTTTTGCCTAAAACAAGCCAGCTTTTATCCCTACTACAAATTCTATGTTCCCAAGTATCCTATATTTTCCATAACTTAAGATGCTCAGAAGACTAAGGATATTTCAAGATAACTAAGCCTCAAAGTGTTTGATAAATTTTTTAGATTCTTCCTGAGCATTACTACTAGATGTGCTTTGCATACTAAAGTCCAAAATTACAATACATGCTCTCTCTCCCTTGTAAAGATCATACCTGTTTTTAGGTATGATAATGACATTCTAAATTACAAAATACATGCTTCTTATTTTAAAAAACAAAGCAATAAACCACCCCACTTTACAAAGTAAAGTAAAAATCCTTTTCACTCCCCAAACCCATTCCCAGGAGGCAGATCCCCTTAGATCTTTTGTCATAAACATAAAGATAGAGGGATGGATGGATGGACAGAGATAGAAACATATAAATAGACACATATATAGATGTAAATCTATAATGGGATTGTCTTCCACATGTTGTTCTGCATCCTGCTTGTTTCACTCAGCAAATAATATCTTTCATTCCAACACATGTGGAAATCTCCATTTATATTTTAATTTCATTGTATATGGGAATCTTCATAGTTTTCTATAGTATTAAATTATCATAATTCATTTAAGTACTGTCCCTTGAATATCCTTGCCCATTTATGTGAGGACTTAATAATAATAATAATAATAATATAAAAACTACATTAATAGATAATATTTGCATGTTTGCTGTGTGTCAGGCACCATGCTAAGAAACTAAACATATATCATTTCACTTCATCTTCACAACAATGCTGTGTAGCAATTACTCTTATTAACCCCATTTTTAAAATGAATAAACTAAGGTTACAAAACATAAGAGCCATACAACTGACGTATGGAAGTGCCGAGGTTAAAACTTGGGAAGTCTGATTCCACGCTGATAACCAGGATGCCACAGAAGTATGATGGCTGGCTGGATCGACCAGTGTGCACACCTGAAGTTCTGAGAGGAACGGTCAATTACCACGCAAAGACTGCAGTACACACATATACCTTTATCTTTTGACGCGCTGCAAACTGTTCACTTGCAAGAAACAATGGCAACCACACATTTTCTAGCCTGTGTAGGACGCACTTCTGAATTTCAAGTAGAACAGGTGCATCAAGCTGCTCGTGGAGAATCCTTCCCCAGCCACCACTTAAATTCATTATCTAAGAAAATAAAACAAAACAAAAACGACAAACTTCTGTTTTGGTAAAGAAACGCCAATAGTCATTAATTTATTTATTCGCCCTCAACCATTTGCTGAGCACCTGATAGGTGCCACAATTTTTATTTTCTGTAAGATTATCTCCTGGCTCTATTGTGTATAGTAAAGAAAAATACCTTTTCTAACACCGAAGAGAGAATTACAGTTTATGTGAGGGTTGTTTCAAAAAACACAGGAATGGGATTTGTTCCCTGTGAGACTATAAGCAGTGCCATTTTTTGTCCATGGCCTCGGTATCTTCAACTAAAACGAGGACATCAGTATATTAGTTTCCTAAATTCTCTTCTAGGTCTAATAATCTATGAATCTGTGATTCTGGTCAAAGTGACAGGTCTGAGAAGTCATTTTCTTTTGTTCATGAGGAAAATGAAGCTTAGTGTAGAGACAACCTTGACTCGGACATTGTAAACCTCAGGTGGCAGATGGCAGGATGCTGGCAGCAACTGGGGCTGTTCTGACAACCACCAAGGAGGAAGCAGAGACAGCAAGACGCAGAGGAAGGTGGGGTTAGGCAGCCCACGGTCTCTGACTTGCACGGGCAGCAACTTTTATAAAACACAATTTCTTTGTGGCCTAGATCTTCCTTTTGCATAATTATTGGCTTCGACAAACTACTAACGGCTATTTCCTTCCAGAAATCATTCTGTTTTCTCCCATTCCTGTGTGCACTTGAGACGTTTGGACCGCTTGTCGGAAAAAACCACCTTCTTAGCTCTCCTTTCATTAATCAAATCCTACTAGCATATCGTTTGAATGAAAACAAGAGAAACCCTCTTAGCCATCTTTTATTATTAATCAAATGACATTAGCAATGACACTGTTTTCGTATTAAAAAAGAATATAGAAAAAGAGAAGAAAAAGAAAAACAGACTACTTTGTTAATCTAAGAGCAAATTGGCCACACAACTGAAATCAGAACTAGCATGGTCTATATAAAACGTGATGTGATTTAAATATCCTGAAATATAAAATATAAGTCAATAAAAGTAAAGTCAAAGATGAGGAAGAAGAAGTATCGGGAGAACCCCTCTGGAGTAAGCCCAATCATCTGTTACGGCAGCACCAGGTGACTTCTCCCATTGAATTTTAAGTGCTCGGCATGTTACCCTGTGGGGGGTTCACACAGGAGCATCGGTACCACTAAGCCTCACACAGTGCAGCGCAGGCCAAACAGAAAACAAATGCTTTCCATGTGTTCATTTCATGCTTGTGCCCAGTGAGACACCCAACCTCTGCTGCTGACACAGCCCAGGTCCTATCTCAGGGAACTGATGGCGAAGTATTTTTGTCACGGTTGTTTAATCTTACTTCTGATCCCTCTTACTCCTAAGGACTTCCGCTAACTCCTCCCTACAAAGATTGAGCTTTTTAATTTGGTAGGCTCTACTTGCAAATATCTCTGATTTTTTTCTTGAATTTAATGAATTTCACATTAATCTGAGATTTGTATCTTATAAATGTATGCCATCAAACTATGCATCTGTTTAAATTACCAATATAAAAAAAACAAATGCTATCATTTGATCTCTAGATGGTAGTACTAGCAAACTTCAAACTAAATAAATAATTGCCATTTTTATCATAAAAAATGAGCCATATTTTATGTGATCAAACCCACTGCTGAATCCCAATATGAATTTTTTCTGTAAATAATAATACCATGGTTATTAATAAGTTGTGATTCAGGCCATGTGACTTTGGTCCAACAAAATGGCCAAACCTATGTTCCAGGTCAATGAAAATAGTTTACGGGGACAATACAATGGCAAACAGGATTTTTCAAAGATTAATTGTGTTTGGAGTATTATCAGTTAATAGAAAAACAGAGGTCAAGGTGGAGCTTAATGGCTGGAAGTGGCTGTTTTCCTGCTTGTTCAACGGATGCAGTTGCCTCGCTCACCAGGTTTCCTGAGCTCCCAGGGAGTGCCCAGCACATCAGCACATCACAGGCACCTGCACTGGCCGAATGAGTGGATGAGTGACTGCATAAAGGTTATTTTTATCCTTAAATTGCTGGTTTAAAATAAATAACACATTTTATAATACATAATACTTGAGTGCATTTAAAAAACATTTCTTTTGTAGATACATGTAAATATCTAAAAAATGAGATATCAAAGGTGTCTAACATCTAAGTTATAAAAGCAAATGAAAACAATGACTTTCAGGTTGCTGGCAAAAAAAATAATAAATAATAATACATTACTTCAGTATAGAAATATCTTTTCATGTTATCTACCTTGTCCTGCTGGCGTAGAGAAGCGGGACTGTTAGGTCCAAAGAAATATTTTTTATTAAGATATTTGTTTTTAATATACATAGATTTTGCCTCCCTTTGCTTTTGATCTTTGTAACTTATTCTTCGGAACTGCTCAATGTCCGTCCAGCACATAAGGTCCATACTAGAATGCAAACAAAGACAAAGTACACCTTTCTTGTTCATTTCTCTCAGTCCTACTAAACACCAAGTGAAGTTGTTGTTTTGACAGAACTTAGAAAGTGACTAGTTGGCAGGAGTGATTAGATCATGAAACTAATGAGTATAATTCTGTGTCTCATCCTGACTAAATATATGAATAAATAGTAGAATCCTGGGATCAGAAAAAAGTCTATCACCATTATTGGGAGGGTCTCAGAGTTCTCTGGACCAGAACTGTCAGTTTCAGACATGGGAACACACTCACCTATTGTATGTCTAATTGGCAACAAAGTAAATTTAGAATAATCCTCAGCACAATGAAGGGAAACTATGTATGTGAAATGTGGCTCCCATGTCTAACCAATCTTTCTTAACTTGTGAGAAAAATTATTGGAAAAAATATGATCAATGCTTCAGTTTATATTAGATGAATATGTTACAAGGCCCCAAGGTTTTGTGCAGAACTACATTTCATTTATATGTTAACTAACAAAAATTATAAAATACTGCATTAATTTCAATAGCTTAGTGAAATATAAAAGAGACACTTCTCAGAAACAAAAACAGTACCTGTCTAGACAAATGCAAAAGAAACACCAGAAAATGGAAAGGATAAAGCATGCTGGTGTTTTAGTTTAGCCAATGCTAAAGGTATCAACAAATATTATTTAACCACTTAAAATAATACTTTGGAGGTTGCTATTTTTCATGCACTCCCTCACAGAAAGTTATCTATACAGATTTTAAAAATTAAGTAGCTTAGAAAAAAATGATGTTTCAAGAGGGGAATACAGTTTACAATGGTTATGTTCCTTACCTTGATGAATGAGCCTCAAGAAACTGACGGAAATGTTCAAACTCCAGTTTGTTTTTAAGCAGATCATCAAAAGTAAAATGTCTATATTCTTCAGGAACATTATTCCAGTACTGTGTTTCCTTAGAGATATCAGGATGTTGTGGAATACCAGTTCCAATTTCACGAGTAGTATCCTAGTGAAATAATACTTTTTATAAAAATCTCTTAAACACAACAAATCATTTTTCAAAGTAAAATAAGCTGAAATAAAAATTAACTGTTAGGCCAATGCCATTTCACAGGTCAATGGTAGAACTGGGTGGAGAATCTAGAATCTAACCCTGGCAGGTGTGGCCCAGCTGGGTGCGTGTCATTCCACAAAACGACAGGTCACTGGTTTGATTCCCAGTCAGGGCACATGCCAGGGTTGCAGGTTTGGTCCCCAGTCATGATGAGAGACAACCAATCATTGATTCTCTCTCACATCAATGTTTTTGTCCCTTTCTTTCTCCCTCCTTTACCTTCTTTCTAAAAATAAATAAATAAAAACCTTAAAAAAAAGAATGTACAATCTGGTTCTAACTCATAACAAATCCTCTTTGTTCTTTTACATTCCATTCCCCTTATTTTGAGGAACAGTTAGTAAACATTTATTATATACTTATTTGTAAATATTATTTTGTTAGTACAGAAGTAATGTATTTTGTAGTAAAAAGAAAACAAAAAGCACACATAATACTACCATTCAGAGATAACCACCATTAGCATTTATATATATATATATATGTATATATATATATAGTATTTTTTGTCTACATATATGTAGCTTATTAAAAGCTACATATGAAGAAACTACACATGAAGATACAAATGCTCTGGCTGGGTAGATCAGGTGGTTGGAGTGTCATCTTGTGCACCAGAAAAGGTTGTAGGTTCAATTCCCAGTCAGGGAACACACCTAGGTTGTGGGTTTGATCCCAGGTCAGGGCACATAAGGGAGGCACCAATCGATGTTTCTCTTCCATGTCAATACTTCTCTTTCTTTCTCCCTCTCCTCCCTCCCTCCCTCCCTCCCTCCCTCCCTCCCTCCCTCCCTCCCTCCCTTCCTTCCTTCCTTCCTTCCTTCCCTCTTCACTCCTCTCTCTGAAATCAGTGGATATACCCATGGGTGAGGATTACATAGAACAAGAAAAAGATAGGACTATACAACTATGTATGGTTTTATAATTTGGTTCTTTTTCTTAACAATATATCATGAACATAAAACATTCTTTTATCTATAACTTAATTTCAAAAGTTACAGAGTAAAAAAAGATGCTTTCTAATAAGGATTACATTCTTGTTTTTTTAATTTAAATATATTTTATTGATTATAATATTACAGTTGTCCTAATTTTTCTCCCTTTGCCTGTCTCCACCCAGTATGCCCATTCCCTCAGCAATGCCTTGCCCCCTTAGTTCACGTCCATGGCTCATGCATATAAGTTCTTTGGCTACTCTATTTCCCATACTATTCTTAGCTTCCCCCTGTCTATTTTGTACCTACCTATTTATGCTTCTTATTCCTGTACCTTTTCCCCCATTCTCCCCCCTCCCCTCCCCACTGATAACCCTCCATGTTATCTCCATTTCTGTGATTCTGTTCCTGTTCTTGTTGTTTGCTTAGCTTGTTCTTTAGATTGGTTTGTTGACAGTTGTAAGTTTGTTGTCATTTTACTGTTTGTATTTTTTATATTCTTTTTATTAATGAGTTCCTTAAACATTTCATATAATAATGGCTTGGTGATGGTGAACCCCTTTAGCTTTATCTTGTCTGGGAAGCACTTAATCTGACTTTCATTCTAAATTATAGCTTTGCTGGATAGAGTAATCTTGGGTTTAGGTCCTTGCTTTTCATGACTTGGAATACTTCTTTCCAACCCCTTCTTGCCTGCAAGGTTTCTTTTGAGAAATCAGCTGATGGTCTCATGGAAACTCCTTTGTATATAACTGTCTCCATTTCTCTTGCTGTTTTTAAAATTCTCTCCTTATTTTTAATTTTGGGTAATGTAATTATGATGTACCTTGGTGCGTGCTTCCTTGGGCTCAACTTTTTTGGGACTCTCTGAGCTTCCTGGACTTTCTGGAAGTCTATTTCTTCTGCCAGATTAGAGAAGTTCTCTTTCATTATGTTTCCAAATAAATTTCCAATTTCTCGTTCTTGTTCTTCTCTTTCTGAAATCCTATGATTCAGATGTTGGAACGTTTAAAGATGTCCTGGAGGTTCCTAAGCCTCTCCTCTTTTTTTTTTTTTTTAAATTCTTGTTTCTTCATTCTGTTCTGGCTGAATGTTTATTTCTTCTTTCTGCTCCAAACTGCTGGTTTGAGTCCCAATTTCCTTCCCTTCACTGTTGGTTCCCTGTACATTTTCCTTTATTTCACTTTTCATAGCCTTCACTTCTTCCTCTATTTCGCAACCATACTCAAACATTTCTGTGAGCATCCTGATTACCAGTGTTTTCAACTCTGCAGGTGATAGATTGGCAATCTCCTCATCAATTCATTGTACTTTTTTGGCAGCTTTGATCTGTTCTTTCATTCGGGCCATATTTTTTTGTCTCTGCGCGCCTGTTATGTAGTAATGGGTGGAGCCTTAGGCACTTGCCAGGGCAGGCAACCCATGTCACTGTGTTGTGGTGCTGTATGTGGAGGAGGGGTCAAGAAGGAACAGTGCCACTTACTTGGCTCTCAGCCAGCTTTCTGTCACTTCCTCCACTACCCACAAGTAATTTGGCCCTTCTGGTGATTCCCAGGTGGGTGGGTTTGTAGATGTTTTAGGACCCTGTGGGTCTCTCCAACAAACTCTCCCGTGAAGCTTGGAGTTTCTCCTGCTGCCACAACCCCCACAGGTCTTTTCAAGCAGAGGTTTTGAGGCTTTATTTTCCTGGGCTGGAACCATGGGTTATGTGGTCTGTCTCACTCCCTACTTGTTCCTCCCAGTTTATCTGCACACAAATGTGGGACCACCTTGTCCTCTAACTGCTGCCTTGCCGTGAGTCCTCTCCTCCCAGCTGCCTGTCTCTGCCCCTCCTACCAGCCTGGAAGAATGTTTCTTCTTTAACTCCTTGGTTGTCAGACTTCTACACAGTTTGATTTCCTGGCAGTTGTGGTTATTTTTTGTTTTTAAATTTGTTTTTGTCCTTCTTTTGGTTGTGTAAAGAAGCAAAATGTATCTATCTATGCCTCTATCTTGGTTGGAAATTCAGAGCTAACTGTCTTTAACAGTTTGGTGAACATTTTACAGATACCTCTTTTCATATATGTATACATGTAGAGATACATATTCAACTGTGTAAATAAGATCATACAATACCTGTGTTTTTATTCCTTACATTTTTATAAAATATGTCCTGAGCATTTTCCATGTCAGTAAATATGAATCTAAACTGCCATTTTAATGAAGATACAATTTAATATTATTGCTTTATAGATCTATCATGGTTTATTTAGCCAATCCAAAAGTTTTGAATTTGTACATCAAAACAATATTTTTCACATCCTAGTCAATCCTATGGTCTTTTTACTGACTTCCTCAAACTTTTCCCTTATTTAGAAATTATTGTGCCTATTGATATCATAAAACAGTTCCTTTTCTGTTTGAAAAACTCAATTTAACTCCTTTGTGACTTGACATCAAAAAGAGTTGCTGACATACAGAAAATAATAACATTCAAAGGTATATGATGTGGGCTTTCAGCTGAAGCAAATGAGTAGCCTGGCTTCTGGTGTTTCCTCATCTGCTTTGTCATGAAATGTGTCAGTCAAATGTGACACTTATCAAATGTAGCATACTAAGCAAAGAAAAAGCAGAAAAATGAGACTGCCTATCCCCTACCTTTTCAGTATAGGATCTCCTCAATATCTGATCTCCAACCCCCACCCCAACCAATATATGCAGTACTAATCCTCTCCAGGATGTAAATTCATTTTTCTAGTACAGAGGTGTCTTACCTCAGCTTTCTCGGAAAGTGTCACTTTATGCAAAGCCTGTAGCTTTCTAAAGCATGTGGAATCTAGCTGTCGAGTTTCTTCCACCAAGTTCACCTAATAAAATAGTAAAAAAAAAAAAAACCCTTGTAACATCAATAGAATGTGCACTATGAGAGTGGGGAAAGAATGCACAATTTGCCAGTAACAGTGGGCTAAGAAACCAATACACTTGCTAATAAAGTAAATTGGCTTGGAGGCTAAAGCAGGATGACCAGCATGGGAAAAATATCAGCTATAGCAAAGTCAGACTTTGAATATATATAATAAAAAATATTGCCCTGGCTGGTGTAACTCAGTGGGCCTGCAAACCAAAAGATTGCGGTTTGATTCCCAGTCAGGGCACATGCCTGGGTTGCAGGCCAGTTCCCAGCAGGGGCCAGTTCCCAGCAGGGGATGCAAGAGAAGCAAACATACATTGATATTTCTCTCCTTCTCTCCCTCCCTTCCCCTTTAAAGAGAAATAAATAAAAATTTAAAAAATACCTACATTTCTAGGTATATATTTTAACAAGTGTGCCACAAGAATTTTTAAAATGTGCAATATCCAACTATTTAATCAGGGGCACTGACCCCTTTTCCCTTAGATTGTCAAATAAAAAAATGACAATGGTCAACACAACAATGGCTTTCCATTGTGAATACCCTGTCTCAAATCACAAATATATATGTTGTATAATAGAGTTGCATCTTCTTGGTCATATTGTATGATAAGATTCTGTCTGATTGATTAATTCTTGGTACCAGAAATATTTATGCACAAGTATAACAACCTGACATTTTAAAAATATTTTATTTATTTGTCTTTAGAGGGGAAGAGAAGGAGAGAAGGTGAGAAATATCAATGTATAGTTGCCTCTCATGCATCCCCTGCTGGGAATTGGCCCACAACCCAGGCATGTGCTCTGACTGGGAATCGAACCACAATCCTTTGGTTTGCAGGCCCGTACTCAATCCACTGAGCTACACCAGCCAGGGCCACAACAGTCAGGTTGTGGCCCTGGCTGGGTAGTTCAGTTGGTGAGAGCATTGTCCCAACCTGCCAAAGTTGCAGATTCGATCCTGGGAAAGGGCATACGAGAATCAACCAATGTTCACATAAATAAATGGAACAATAAATTGATGTTTCTCTCTTTCTCTCTCTCTAAAATCAAGTACATAAATAAATAAATAAATAAGTAAGTAAAATGTCACTTTGGGGCAAAAAAATGTAGGTAATTACTATTATTATTTTTTGTAAATCAATCAAAATTATACCTATTTTTGTAAGATTGGCTAAACATATTTTTAATGTGCTACAGAATTTTAGTAGTTTGTGTGTGCTATGACATAAAAAAGTTTGAAAATTGATGACACAGTGCCACCAAAAACCTCCTCGTTTCTGGAAAAGCCTTGGGAACTAACAAACACTGGAGACATGCTGTGTCACATTTCCAGTTTCTGTTTATTATAACAGCATAACGGTCATGAAGGCTCTACTGATTTAGGGGCCATATGATCCTCAGAAGAACATGAAGTGACCAGACTCCATTGTTATTAGTCAGTGAGCAAAGGTTTTATTGGTGTAGCAAGAGAGGAGAGAATTAATCATCTAATTAAACTGCATGGTCAGTTGCAGCCTTCAGAGTGTATATTGTACCACTTGATACAGTCGGGAGAACAAAGTCATTCTCTGTTTCTCTGTTGCAGGGAAAAAATCAGTTTGGCTGGTTTGAGTAGTCTCCGTGGTTATCCCTTTTGGAAAAGAGTCTATGTAATCCAGTCAGCTGGACTTTTACAGAAGTCTCTGGGCTGAATTTAAGGATGTTTCTAGAAATTAAGAGAGGGTTACCCTTCCTCTTATAAAAAGAATGTATAATTCGTCCCATACATTTTTTATAAGAATAATTACTAAGGCCAAAACCTTTTGCTTTAGGGACTTTAGTTATAATTCTAAATCTTTATCATCCCAGGACCATATCTCAGATCCACTTTCCTCTAGACTACACATCACATTAAAATAAGTAGAGGCTTGTGGTCAAGATGGAGGCATAGATAAACATGGCTTGCCTCCTCGCACAACCACAGCAAAAATTAAACTAAGCGACAAAACAACTATCACCCAGAATCATCTGAAAATTGATCTGTATGAGCTGTAAGTTTGATGACCAAGGAATTAAAAAAGTCACATTCATCCAGACAGAGAGGAGGGATGGAGATGTGGAAACACACAGGGAGGCACGGAGACATGGAACAGGTGGTCCCACACCCAGGTGTGGTGCATAAAGATTCGGGAGGGATACCTCAGAACTGAGGGATCTTAGCCCCGTAGCAGGCCACCCAGACCAGGGTTCCACTGCTGGGAAGACAAGTCCCTATAACTTCTGGCTCTAAAAAACAGCGTGTGCTGGGGCAGCAGAAGAAACTGTGGGATTCTCAGGAGTCTCCTCTTAAAGGGCTCACAATGGACTTAGGGCTTATATAGACTCACTTCCTCTGGGCTCCAGCACCAGGGCAGAGGTAGAAGGACACCAGGTGCATACAGGGAGAAAATGAAATGTCTGGCATCAGGGCGAGTGCCGGGGAACAGCTTCCTCCCAGACAAAACTCCAGAGGCCAGGCAGCAGCACTGTCCCTTTCTGAGCCCACCCCCACACAGAGCCATAGAACGGCAACACCATATCAGAGACTTTGTCAACTTAGTTCACATGGTTTGCCCTGCCCTGGTGATTACCTAAGGCTCTGCCCCATCCAACTTACCTGGACTTTTCTACATCAGACCACACCACTAAGATAGGGAGTCAAAGCAGCTCTACTAACCATAGAAACAAACACAGGGAGGCTGCCACAATGAGGAGACAAAGAAATATGACCCAAATGAAAGAACAGAACAAAACTCCAGAAAAAGAACTAAACACAATGGAGACAAGCAATCTATTATATGCAGAGTTCAAAACACTAGTTATGCTCAACACGATGGTCAAGGAACTCACCGGCTACTTCAACAGAATAAAAAAAAGACCCAGGCAGAAATGAAGGTTACGCTAAGCAAAATAAAAAAAACTTTTACAGGGAACCAACAGTGGAGTGAAAGAAGCTGAATCAAATCGATGATTTGGAACATAAGGAAGAAAGAACATTCAGGCAGAACAACAAGAAGAAAAAAGAATCCAAAAAAAGTAGGATAGGCTAAGAAGCCTCTGGGACAACTTCAAACATACCAACATCTGAATCACAGGTGTGCCAGAAGGAGAAGAACAGAGCAAGAAATTGAAAACTTATTTTAAAAAACAATGAAAGATCTTCATTTCTATGGTTCTGCTCCTGATCTAGCTGTCCTCTTAGTTTGCTTTTGTTTTAGGTGTGGTTCTTAATAACTGTGAGTTTGCTGTCCTTTCACTGTTCATCTTTTTTATCTTCTTTTTCTTAGGTAAGTCCCTTTAATATTTCATATAATAAGGGCTTGGTGATGATGAACTTTTTGAATTTGATCTTATCTGAGAAGCACTTTATCTGCCCTTCCATTCTAAATGAAAGCTTTGCTGGAAAGATCAATCTTGGATGTAGGTCTTTGGATTTCATGACTTGGAATACTTCTTTAGCAACAGGGGAGTGGGAGAAGGAGAAGAAGGGAGAAGGTACAGGAAATAAGTAGCATAGATGGTAGGTAGAAAATAGATAGGGGGAGGGCAAGAATAGTAGGGGAGATATAGAATCTAAAAAACTTGAGACACGTGGTCATAAAGTAAAGGGGGGGAATGGTGGGGGAGGGGGTGTGCAGGGTGGAGGGGAATGAAGGGGGGAAATAGAACTGTAATGGTATAAGTAATAAAATATATATTTTTTAATTAAAAAAAGATAAGCTTCTCTTCAAAAAAAAAAAACAACAATGAAAGACATTTCCCTAATTTGGTGAAGGAAATAGACAAGGCCAGAATACAAGGCCAGGAAGCACAGAGTCCCAAACAAGATGGACCCAAAAAGGGCCACACTAAGACACATCATCATTAAAATGCCAAAGTTTAATGATAAAGAGAGAATCTTAAAAGCAGCAAGAGAAAAGCAGATAGTTACCTGCAAAACAGTTCCCATATGAATGTCAGCTGATTTCTAAAAAGAAGCTTTGCAGGCTAAAAGGAACTGACAAGAAGTATTCAGAGTGATGCAAATCAAGCACCTACAACCTAAATTATTCTATCCAGCAAAGCTATCATTTAGAATGGAAGGGCAGATAAAGTGCTTCTCAGACAAGATAAAGTTAAAGGAGTTCATCATCACTAAGCCATTATTATATGAAATTTTAAGGGGACTTATTTAAGGAAAAGATCAAAACTATGAACATTAAAATGACAACAAATTCACAACTAGCAATAATTGCATCTAAAAAAACAAAAAAGCAGAAACAGAACCATAGATATGGACAGGAGGAGGAGACAGCGGGGAAGTGGTGCTGCGTGTTGACTGTGGTCGCCCATTTGTGCGCGAGCGGACAGGCGAGGGAGTGGGCGGTTGGACCGGGGCCCGGCGGGTCCCCGTGGCAAGCGGCAGTAGTGGGCGCCGCCATTTCCCCGCTCTGACCACGCCCCCACATACAGCATCACAACCCAGCAACCTGGGAGTCTAAGGCACCCTTTCTCACACTTAAAGGGCCAGAACAGACCAAAAATGTCGCAAGATCTCAAAGCCCCACAGCCCATAGATCTAAGCGATGAAGAAATAGCAAAACTCTCAGACCCACAGTTTAAAACACTGGTCATCAGGATCCTCACAGAACTGGTTGATTATAGCCACATATTAGACAAATATATGAAGGTGAAACTAATTGAAATGAATGGAATTGCACAGGACACCAATAGCAATGAAAAGGAAACTGGGACTCAAATCAATGGAGTGGACCAGAAGGAAGCAAATAATGGCCAAACAGAAAAGAGTCAGGAAGCAAGAATTCAAAGAAATGAGGAGAGTCTTAGGAACCTCCAGGACATCTTTAAACGCTCCAACATCCGAATTATAGGGGTACCAGAAGGGGGAAAGGCACAGCCACCAGAAAACTTATTTGAACAAATAATAAAGGAGAATTTCCCCAATCTGGCAAAGGAAATAGACTTCCAGGAAATCCAGGAAGCTCAGAGAGTCCCAAAGAAGTTGGACCCAAGAAGAAACACACCACGACACATCATAATTACATTAGCCAAAATTAAAATGAAGGAGAGAATCCTAGAAGCAGCAAGAGCTAAGGGGACAGTCACCTACAAAGGAGTCCCCATCAGACTGTCAGCGGATTTCTCAAAAGAGGTATTACAAGTCATGAAATCCAAAGACCTACAACCATAATTGCTCTATCCAGCAAAACTTTCATTTAGAATGGAAGGACAGATAAGGTGCTTCTCAGATAAGATCAAATTCAAGGAGTTCATCATCACCAAGCCCTTATTATATGAAATGTTAAAGGGACTTATCGAAGAAAAAGAAGTTAAAGAAACATGAACAGTGAAAGGACAGCAAACTCACAGTTATTAACAACCACACCTAAAATGAAAGCAAACTAAAAGGACAGCTAGATCAGGAGTGGAAACATAGAAATGAAGATCTCAAGGAGGGTTAGCAACAGGGGAGTGGGAGGAGGAGATGGGGGGAGAAGGTACAGAAAATAAGTAGCATAGACAGTAGATAGAAAATAGATGGGGGGGGCAAGAATAGCATGGGAAATATAGAATCTAAAGGACTTGAGACACATGGTCATAAACTAAAGGGAGGGTAATGGTGGGGATGGGGGGGTAGGGTGGAGGGGAATGAAGGGGGGAATAGAACAACTGTAACAGCATAATCAATAAAAAAATTAAAAAAAAAAAGAAAATAGACAGGGGAGGTTAAGAAAGTATAGGAAATGGAGTAGACAAAGAACTTATATGTGTGATCCATGGACATGAACTAAGGAGGGCATTGCTGGAGGAAATGGGGGGACTGGGTGGAGGGGGTACAAGGGGGAAAATCAGGACAGCTATAATAGCATAATCAATAAAATATATTAAAAATCAAGTAGAGAGACTTTTAATTTTTCATATGCTAGCCTAATTTTCCCAGTGTAATTATATATTTTTGTAGTACAAAGGTTATACTGCTAATTTTTCAGAATAAAGAGAAATCAGAAAGAAAATTTTAATTTTTTGGTCATTGAATTGAGTAAGCCATAAGGATTGTTTTAGTCACAATCCAACCAGGTAACTCTATCCAAGGTGTTTCAGTATTGATTTTACCTTAACCACCTAACCTATCTTTCCTGGTAGAGGACGTGACTAAGGAGTTGCTGGGGTGACGAGAACAAAGAAGAGCAATACAAAGACAGCAGAGTCCCACCTGAAATGACCTCATGAACAGGACACATGCATTAACTTAATATAAAAAATACCCATGAATGGTTTTAATTTGTGATTCAAAATAAATACTTAAAGGAATTTCCTCCACCCATCCATGAGGAGAGTGAAAATATTCGAGCACTGAGGTTTAACATGACCTCTTTGGGAATGAAAAAAGACGTGTTGAAACTTTCATCCAATCAAGCAATCTGACCTGAGGAACATCTGGGGGTGCTTTCAAATGGCTGCACCGAAGTCAGGGAATGCGCTCCCCACAATGCATGTGAAACGTTTATATTTTCCACGGGTATAATATTTACTGTAACTCATCCAGCCTAAAATCAAACGGGCTTTGTCCATTAATCAAAATTAAGGCCGCTGCTGAAAAACAGCAAGAAGGGACAAAGCCAGTATATAATCACGGCATATTTTGTTGGTTCACAGGAAGCCAAAACTCAGATTCATCTCTGCTAACATATTTGTACAAAGAACTGAAAATGACACCGATTTAAGTCTTTGGTCGGGAGGCAAAACTGAATTTTAGGAAAAGGCCCATGGGAGACCTTTTTCAGCTTTTTGTTTTCTTATGTGGTAATGATATTGCTTTCCATCAGTTTTACAGAAGTAGGTTCAATGGTTCACTCACAGTTCCTCAGTGCCACAATACCTGTCTGTAAGCAACTTGGTCTGATTTCACCATCATTGTCCAGGGCTCGAGTAGGAGGAGAAGAATATATTCTTCTGCTGTGTCAAAAAGGTCTTCAAATGGTGGCTGTATCTTCATATAAATCTCTCTTTTCTTTTCCTGTTGGAGTCCAATGTCAAGAGTGGCCGAAGGAGCAACATATGTGGCAAAAAGGTACTGAGGAAGAAGGGAGGAAAGGAAGGGGATGTTGGGAGAAACCATAATGGTTAGCAGATTCCTTGGCGAAGGTATTTTTTAAAAGGTAAGAAAAGGCAAACAAGCTCAAGTGATTTTTTAAAAGATGTGTAAAACTACTTAAGACAAAGCAATGTGCTTATTCAAAAGAATTTTCTTTTCCTATTTCTTCATCTGTAATTAGTCAACTAGCCAGTGGACCTTGCACAGCAGTAGGTGATTTTAGATACTGTGATTTTTTTTTTTTTTCAGATTACTGCTACGGATTATTATGGTTGGTTTGAAGTTATATGTTTCCTTTTTTCCTTATGTTCATGGCAGTTCTAACTGTATTGTGCTACTTTCCCCAGTGATTCAAAATGCTCTTGAACGCAAGAGGCAAGAACACAGTAGGGCTGAAAAGCTGGCTATTTGTCTTCTAGTCTGGAGACTCAGAAGACTGCCTGTCCTACCCAACTGAGGTGCAGAGTCCTTAAGACTTTCTGCTGTAAAAATGTCTCCACCTGGTGTCAGTTGCTGTGGAAGAGAGACAAGAAAGAAATAAAAGTGAATGGAAAGACTTACACAGAGCATCCAGCTTCATAGGCAAAGCTGTACAAATGTCTGTTTATCTTGTTTCTCAACAATAGCTGTTTAAATCTTAGAAGCACTTTAATAACATTTTATCTTTTAAAAGCTACACACTGGATATGTCAGGCCCTGTAGTTTTACAAAGAATCCCTAGTTGTATTTTACTTCAATTTTATTTTTATACTTAGACTCTGGACCTGATAATGTCCAGACTCAACCCAGGTGATAGATAGATAGACAGACAGACAGACAAGTATCAAATACCAAATAACAGTCTTATGTAAAATAATCTTTAAAAAGTTTTAAAGGGTCCCTATTAATAGCACAAGCTTTCAGGAGTACCCACTACATCCTAGACACTCGGGGAGATGCTATATATGCTAAGACTAATGAGTAAGACATACTGCCTGCCCTGAAGGAGCCCTTTGGTGGAGACATAGAGATGAAAACCAGCAGTCACAACACAGAAGGAAATGTGCCACACTGCAGTCATGCATTGCAAATAAGATCTTCAGTGATTGCCTGGCCAAGTTTTTCAAGCTCACCTCCCAGCTATCACCTTCTAAATTTTAATTCAAATATCAATTTTTCTTAATTTGCTAAACTCACTCTTTTGCCGTTCCATACCATCGCACATTGTTCCTTCAGTCTTGGATAGTCACCCTATTCCAAGCACCTTGTCTACCTGATACAATCACATTTATTCTTTAAAATCAACTTGGATTTGAATCCTTCATTCACACCCTCCTCCCAAGATTATACTTTTCAACTGTTGTATCCATCATACTATAATGCAATTATGTACTTATGTGCCTTCTCTTCTGGAACAAAAGGCTTTGAGGGCAAATACTTCAGCTTATTCATCTGTGATTCTCCAACTCCTAAAACTGTTCCTGGCAGAGAATAGATGCCATAAATGTTTATCAAATTGTACTGAATCCACAGAAAAGACTCATTTATGTCTTGAAATGGGGAAGGAAAAGTTTCAGAAACCCTTCCAAGAGAAGATAAGCTTCTCTTAGTCTTAATCCTAAAGCTGAGTCTTGATAGATGAGTTGGAGTCAATTGGACAAGAGATGGGAGTTGTTGAGAAAGATGGCTGAAGAAGGGGGAAAACAGGCCAAGGCATGGGGACCTGTCGGGGGTTTATAACCTGTGGAGAGATTTGAGGCTTCAAGTAGGTGACACTGGCTAAAGGCAAGAGTTTGAATAAAAGAGGATGCTACAAAGGGAGGCAGGTACCAGAGCATGGATATGATCTTTTATTCTTTGCTAAGGAATTTGAATTTCTACCTAAAGATATATAATGTGAAATCTCTAAGGAGTGATATCACTGGATATGAATTTTAGAAATAAATCCCTATGGCCCTGGCTAGGTTGCTCAGTTGGTCGAAGTGTTGTCCCTTACACCAAAGCGTTGTGGGTTCAATTCCTGGTCAAAGCACATACGTAGGCTGTATGTTCAAGCTCTCATTGGGGTGCCTGTGGGAGGTGGCCCATCAGTGTTTCTCACATTGATGTTGCTCCTCTCTCTCCACCCCAGAATCTCTCTCTCACTCTCCCTCTCTTTCTCTCTTCCTCTTTCACTCGCTCCTTGCTTCCCTCCCTCTCTGAAACACATTCTCAGATGAGGACTTAAAAAAAGAAAAGAAAAAATCACTATGACATCAGCAGGACAAAACAGTTTGAGTAGATCAAGATTTGAGGCTGTTTGAAAGTCGTTTCAATAGTCAAATACATTATATGCCAACTTCATCTCTTACCTGCTTTTTTGCAGTAGCCTCTTAACTGGTCTTGCCAGGCTCCTCTTTCCTGTCTTACAGCCTTACTGCAGCGAACACAGACACCACTGTGCGCATCACCCCTCTGCTCAAACTCTCCAGTGCCCTTCCATCTCACACTTAGTAACAGCCAAAGTTCTTATAATTACCTGTAAGTGCAGGTTTTGGAAATTTCTCACTGCTGAGGGGATAAGGATTATTATAGTTCAGGACCTGCCAGTGGGGAAGCCCCTATAAATACCACAGGCTCTCAAAATACCCTAAGAACAGGGGTAGACCAGGTATAGACTCTAGACTTACATTTTTAAAGTGCCATGAGAAAATAACTGCTAACCTGTAATTATATAGCTAACAAAAAGTATTCAAATTCATGAAAGACAAGGACCTACACCCAAGATTACTATCTCCAGCAAAGCTATCATTTAGAATGGAAAGGCAGATAAAGTACTTCCTGGATAAGGTCAAATTAAAGGAGGTCATCATCACCAAGTCCTTATTATATGAAATGTTAAAAGGACTTACCTAAGAAAAAAGATCAAAAGTATGAACAGTAAAATGACAGCACACTCACAACTATCAATAACTGAGCCTAAAAAACAAAGATAAAAACAAACTTAGCAAACAACTAGAACAGGAACAGAATCATAGAAATGGAGATCACATGAGGGTTATCAGTGGGGAGGGTGTGGGAGGATGGGGGGAAAGGTACAGGGAGTAAGAAGCATGATTCGTAGGTACAAAATAGACAGAAGGAGGTTAAGAATGGTACAGGAAATGGAGAAGCCAAAAGAACTTAAATGTATGACCCATGGATGTGAATTAAGGCAGGGGTGGGGGGTAATACTGGAGAGAAGGAGGGTACAGGACAGTGGGGAATGCAGGGGAGAAAAACTATGGGACAACTATAACAGCATAATTAATAAAACATACTAAAGAAATGCCCTTCCAAAATGAAAATTAAATGAAGATGTCAGAAATCCACAACAACAAAAACAGAGAATTCACCACCAGCAGACCTGCAGTAAATTAATTAATTAATTAAAGCAAAGCCCTAAACAAAAGAAGATGGAATATAGAACAGAAGAAAGCACAAATATATAGATAAATATTGATAAATATTAATATTGACTGTAAAATATAATAATAATGAATAAAGTCAGAGGAAATAGTAAAAGAGCCTAAGAAAGAGAAGTCAGAATTGAAGGTACAGGTTAAAGTGAAACTTGCCAGATAGGAAAGCAAATGACGTCAGAATCAGGGCAGTGACACGGTCACATGCAGGCGGAGCATCTAAAACTCAAGGTGAGGATAAAGGAAGAGAACATTTATGGTAACTTAGAAAAAGTAGAATCAACTCTTTTTATAGTTCTCCCTTATGGGAGTACTATATACATCACTATATACAGGCACTCGATAAGTATTTACTAAACAGGAGATTAGTGGCCTAAAGTGAAATTATGATCTGAAAGAGGAATATCAAAGCTCAAAATTCAAAGCTGAAGTGGTTCCAGTTTCTGATGGATTCCGCTAGTGGCCATCCCATAGCTAACAGGATAAATGGAGATTAAAAAAAAAAAAAACAAAAACAAAAAACGACATAATTGGAATTGGGCAAGTTAAGAAACACTAGGCCCTGGCTAGGTAGCTCTCAGCTGGTTAGAGCATTGTCCAGACACACCAATGTATCTGTGGGTCAGGGCACATTCTAGAACTACCAGTGAAAGCATAAATAAGTGGAGGAACACAGCAAATCGATGATTTCTCTGTCTCTTTTCTCTAAAATCAATCAAACAATAAAAGGAACATGATAACATATATGTTATAAAGGCTATTAGCCCGGTTACTGAAAAAGCATCAAGATGATAAAATACAAAATGTAGGGAGAAATTTCATGGGTTGTGGAATGAAAATTTCTAAGAAAGTAAAACAGAACTTAGAAGATCTTTAGATAACATTAATGAAGTTTAAGAGAGGGGAAATTAAAAGATGTAGCAAACAGCAAATTTCTGAAGTTACGAAAAGATGTCTTGAATAGCAGCAGAGAGCACTTCTTTCTTCCTAAGTGTTGTGAAGTACGAGAGAAGGATGTATTCAAGAGCCATTCAAGATGTTCTATTTAATTTGGCAACCTGCAGCCTAGAAACTTGGACCCTAAAACACAGGTACATATTCTGCTGGGGTGAATAGTCCAAAGTGAATCATACATAGTCTACCAAATGATTACAGAATATTTAAAATGAAATTTGTTACACACACACGCACAATTTTTCTAACTTGGGAGTTAAAGAAATGACTTGTCAATCTAACTAGTCTAACAAGCTAGGATTGTGTCAGACCCAAATCTATTCTTAAACATTTTCTAAGTTGAAAGTTTTGAAAGTGAAGTAAGTAATTAAAATAATACCATACTAAGGTAAATTAAGAAACTGAAGACTGCAAAGATCAAATTAACAACATTAAGCAATGTCTCCAGAATTCATCTCAATAATTTCAAATTTACCTTAAAGGAGAGAAAACTTGACTCCCTAAATCTCTTAGGTTAAGAGTCAGTAGTTGGCTATATTAGGGCAGGAATAGCCTCTAATGACAAATATTGGCCATTGCTTTGCCACTGGGTCAGCTGCAATCAAA